TAAAAATGTTCAGACATCTCCCAAAGCAGAGGGAAAACAGTAATAACTTTAGAAGACCCTAACGCATCCCAGCTTTAACAATTCCCAGCTCATGGCCAAATGTGTCCTGTCTGTTCCCCAACCTCCGACTCTGCTCTGGAATATTGTCGAGCAAATCCCAGGCCACCGTATCATTTCATCCATACACAGTTCTGCCAAGAAGTATTATAAAGCCTCCGTTTCAGACACAACCACAGTACCCACACCGTCATCATCATGCCTAAAAATACCACCACTCCCCTTGATGTCATCGGATATGCCATCGGCCCTGATTTCTTCGACTAGTGGCTGTATTTGCTTCAGGATCCCAATGAGGTCCTCACGACGGCAGCTGGTTCGGTGTTCCTTTGGGTCTCGGCGGATCTAGAGAGTCTCTCTCTCTCTCTCTCTCCTTTCTCGCTCTCTTTTTCTTGTAATTTATCTAGTCAAGAAACGTAATCATTTGCCCTATAGAATTTTCCGCAGCCTGGATTTTGCCGATTGCCTCTCTGTGGGGTCATTTAACACAGGCCTGTGAATGCATTGCTCGCAGCAAATTGGAACTTAAAACTAGAGGCTTGATCAAATTCAGGTTTGGTGATTTTGTGGTTTTTTTTCCCCCCAAATATTGTTTCCTAAATGGTGCTGTGCCCTTACATCAGAAGGCCTAAGGTCTAGCTGTCTCTCTTACTATCGCGTGGTGACCACCGACCACCCTGTATGACCTGTTATTTCAGTTGGACTGCAAAATGGGGACGGTCAAATATTATAATTTCTCCTTGATGTATTAGCAGAAATGTTTTCCAGTAAAAAGAAATTTCCCCCCTTACCAACTCTTTGCTTACCTAAAGGTGCAGTTCATCTAGGAAAATCCTGGTCAAAACTCTGTCCTTTTCCATCACCTACCAATTTCAGAGTCAGGAATGACATTCCTTAGCATCTTCTAAAGTGACGGGTGAATTTGGATGGGGGAGAGGAGGACTTTTTTTGTTTAATTGTTGGTAAATTATTATGTACTCAAGCATTTTTAACTCATCTGGTAGGTTTCAACCATGGCTATCATTATTCGTGTTGATGCCAGATGGGCCCATCGTTGGCGTCTTTGGTTGCTGAATCCTGTTGAAGGGGCCCCGGTAGGCTGATAGGATGGTTCAAGCTATCTCCAGTTCCTGCCCGGTCCCTGGGATCAGCCGTGACTTCAGGCAATCTTGTTCTTTTCGGTGGGAAATGATAGATACCACAGCCTAGGCCCTGAGGGCTCTCCTTAACACCAGCTAACACTGAAGGCCATTTCTAGGCTCTGTTAATGGACAGCTGGGAAATGCTTCACCTTCTCCTCCTCCTTTTCAGATAAGACACATACAGATAAACTTCAACTCAATTTCAGGGCTATAAGCTCTTTAATCATCTTATAGGTCTTTGTCTCTCTTTCCTCCATACCGAAAATCCAGTTCCTACAACACCAGCGTAATTACCTGCCTACTTTATCCCCAAAACACCCACAACCGTCTCAGAACAGTCATCCACCACGCTGAGGACCAAAGATCGTGGCAGGTGATTTGCAGCGCTTTCGGTACCTGGGGCGCATCCCGCTGGGGACATCCTTCCCCTGCCTGGGCTACAAAGGCTCCAGAAATAGTTTCTCTCTGTGTAAGTTTGCTGCAGCTCAATACAGCGCTAGGTCGATTTGTTTCATTTTGGTTTCGATTTTTAGGGATTGATTTTTTAATTTAATTTTGTTCTATAATTATGGAACATAGTTACGTGGTTCCAAAGTTAGATATACAAAGTACGTTCACAGAAAATCAGCCTGAATTCTCCTTTCCCTCCGCCATAGGTTTGATTTCTTTTTGTCTGGTTGGTTTGGTTTTTCCTTTCATTTCTTGAACATAAGCAAATGCAAACATGTATAAATGTGTGTCCCCCACCCCTTCTTCGATAAAGGACACTCTACATTTTCTCCATCTTGCTTCTTTATTTGCATTATATCCCGGGGATTGTGCCGTAGGAATATAGAGATTCTGGTTTCCTTGTCAACATCTGTGTTGGACTCCATGGCATGGCCTTCCACGTTTGGTTTCCACGTTACGTTTCCAGTTTGGTCAGGCAGCTCCCCCGCAGTGACATTGGGGTTGTTTCCAGACTTTTACTATAATGAACATCTCTGCAGTGGATATCTTTGTGCATCTATCTTTTCATATTCTTCACATTTCGCTTTGGAATAGATTCATAGAAAGGAGATTGCTGGGTCAATGGATAAATGTATATATAATTTCCCTGCTACTGCCGAATCCTTCCATGATTTTTAAAATTCTTTTAATTTAATTTTTTAAACAGGAAATGTATTTACATGATTCAAAAACCAACGAAAGTAAAAAGATAAACGTGTAGCAGAAATCCTCCATCACACTCCAGTTCCTCATCTGCCTGGTTCTGTCCCACCCACCCAACCCCGAAACTCTCCCCACTCCTGGTAACCACTGTTGTTAATATCCTGCCTGTCCTTCCAGGATGTTCCAGAACTCTCCCCACTCCTGGTAACCACTGTTGTTAATACCCTGCCTGTCCTTCCAGAATGTTCCAGAACTCTCCCCACTCCTGGTAACCACTGTTGTTAATATCCTGCCTGTCCTTCCAGAATGTTCCAGAACTCTCCCCACTCCTGGTAACCACTATTGTTAATATCCTGCCTGTCCTTCCAGAATGTTCCAGAACTCTCCGCACTCCTGATAACCACTGTTGTTAATATCCTGCCTGTCCTTCCAGAATGTTCCAGAACTCTCCCCACTCCTGGTAACCACTATTGTTAATATCCTGCCTATCCTTCCAGAATGTTCCAGAACTCTCTGCACTCCTGATAACCACTGTTGTTAATATCCTGCCTGTCCTTCCAGAATGTTCCGGAAACTCTCCCCACTACTGATAACCACTGTTGTTAATATCCTGTCTATCCTTCCAGAATGTCACATGCAAAGAGATAGAGATGGGGGAAGGGCAAAAGGAGAAGGAAAGAGAGAATTTCCTCTACTTTTTCCTTTACTCCAGCAGCTAGCAGGCTGCATATAACCCCCTACCCTCTCATCCCCATAACACATCGCCTCTGTCATCACTTCATCTCTCCTCCCAGCAGCCAGCAAGGCAGCTCTCACCCTCCCCTATAATAGCCTGAGGCTCAGAGAGGCTGGGTGACTTTCCCAGGGTCACACAGTAAGGAACAGAGCTGGGTTCTGTTCTTCTTCCTCTCCTCTGCTTTCCAAGGCAGAGGCCCAGGATTCTCGATCTGGTGCTGTTCCCCAAGCCCGCGGGCACCCACACTCCCCAGCCATGCTCACAACGGCCCAGTCTGCCTCGACTCCGAGACTAAGGGCCTGATAGAGTACATGAACACTGAACCTGAGTGACAAGATCAGGGATGCAGACAGCAAAGAGGAACTCCGACGCTCACCTGGCAGCCGTGTGTACCTCGGGAGGCAGAGGCCTTCATTCGGGGTCTCCCTCTGAGGGAGGCCCACAGATCTGAAGCCAGCCCCTGACAGCACCGTGTGCACCAGCCAGGCCTCAGTCTCTGTGGTCCTCAGTTCCCTTCCCGCAACAGCACAGGGCAGTGACGTCCATCCAGTCCCCACTGTGATGATGCGGTGGGGCTGGCGGGCAACGGGCTTACCCCAGTGCCTGACGCAGAGTATGAGCTCGTCCAACGGGTAGCCCTGGGCTGCCCTGAGCCCACCTCCTTTCAGGGAACAGGAGGTGCAGAAGGCAAGTCTGTAGTCTTCCTGGCCTGGGGGAGAGACCTCTTAACACTGGGCCTCCTCCTCTGCAGACACAGCTAGAGAATGACAAGGGGCTGACATCCCAGAGTAACTTTCGAAGCCGCCTCCATCCTGCTGCCATCTTGGGCTTCGGGCCTGGAGCCGTAAGACATAGAAGTCGTCATTCAGGAAACCACACAACGCTGTGCACTTCTGGGTCATTTTTGAAGCCAATTCCCAGTGACCGTATTTTAAGGCACCTGTAAAGATATTCTTTGTCCTTTATTCCTGTAATAATGGTAGTGATTATAATTGGCCTAAACCCAATAAAATATTTACCCAGATTTTGCACTTGCTGGGGAACAGACCACACAATTAATTCTATCGGCGTAATTAATTCAAATTTACATTAATTAAATTAAATTAAAACATTAAACTTGTTTCTTAACCTACTCCAAAGAAGTTCGGCAATTTAATTGCTCTGAAACAAGATAACCAAAATAAGGAGGATATTTAACATACTTATTAAATGCCACTTAGTATTTCTGATTAGTATTTTTAGGGTCTAATTAGTGTCTAATTAACTTGCTATAGGCTATCTTTTCACAATACCCATTAAATTTCCAAACATCCTTTATAAACACGCAGCCACGAGAAAGGAGAGGCTGAAGCATTGTTATAGGGGCGAGTTAATCAGGAGACATCAGCGTGCTATTGTTTTATATCTATAAATACCCATGCTTATTAAAACTCATCAAGTGTTGCTTTTCACCATTAATTGCTAGTTAATCAACTTCAAATGAACGAGGAACTCTCTGAGACCAGCTGTCATTGTTGGAGACAGATGAAGGGCCCAGAAAGCAGGAGTGTGAGGGCACAGATCGAGAAGAGAAGGAAGGGGAGGCGGGAAGCGGGTGCGTCCCAGGTGGGGTGTGCAGCACGGACGTCAGGCAGAAAAGCCACTCTGCGTCCCCAGACCGGGCTTCCCTCACCGATCCCCACCTCCAAGTCAGGTCTCAGACTGAAATCCCAGCTTGGAACACGTTGAAAGCACTAGCGGAAGTGGCAGTTCTGTGGGGAAACTCCGAGGGAGACCCTGTCTAGCCCAGACGGAGAAAGCTTTAGGGAACCCTAGGAAGCTGGGCTCTCCTGCAGCATCCGGACTTCGGGAGAGCGCTCGGCCTCTTCTGGAACATTCTTACTGCCCTGCCTGAGTTGCTGGTCTCTCCCCAGCTGATTGCCTGGGAGCCCGAGCAGGAAGAGGAGGTTACCATGGTGACTGCCCGGCCCAACTTCCAAGACAGCATCCACGTGGGTTTCGTGTCCGGCCTGAAGAAGTTCACCGAGTACTTCACCTCCGTTCTCTGCTTCACCACTCCCGGCGATGGGCCTCGAAGCACCCCCCAGCTGGTGCGCACCCATGAGGATGGTAGGCACCACCCCACCCCTGCTGTCCCTGCCCCGCTCCCCCGCCACACTCCCCCCCCACCCCCTGCCGAGAACCAGGCTGAGCACTCCAGGTATGGGGCAATCCCGGCCTTTTCTTCCATCCTGGGGTGCCCCTGGAGCACGCAGGCTGTCCTGCAGACAGTGGTCTCTTGCTAGCTCTAATGTGCATTGGGGGGGTCCTTTTGGGGTACAGTGCCGGGTCCTGTGGGACACCTGAGCTTCAGTGAAATCCTGGACACATCCCTGAAGGTCAGCTGGCAAGAGCCGGGAGAGAAGAATGGCATCCTCACAGGTAAGGGTTACAGGTGGGCGTTCCGAGCCCCAGGGGTGAGAAGACAAGATCGTCCAGTCCATCCTGTTGTCCTGCTGACCGGTGTTCATCCAGAACCTCCCAGAAGGCCACTCTTTCTTAGAAAGTACTCAGGGGAGGTCTCTGTCTCACTCTGTCTCACTCCGTCCTACGGTCCCCACCCAACAGGGTCATCCCACCCAAGTTATACCTGGGGCCCCAGAGACAAGTTCCCAGCTCCCGTGGCCCAACTGCTCCCAGCCCAAGCAGTGCAGAAAGGCCAAAGCAAGCATTTGGTCACACCAAGCTCACGCCACAACTGGGGGCTCTCCCTAGGATATCGGATATCCTGGGAGGAGTACAACCGAACCAACACCCGCGTGACCCACTACCTACCCAACGTGACCCTGGAGTACCGCGTCACGGGCCTCACCGCGCTCACCACCTACACCATCGAGGTGGCTGCCATGACCGCCAAGGGCCAGGGCCAGGTGTCTGCGTCAACCATCTCCTCTGGGGTGCCTCCAGGTGGGTGCCTGCTCGCAGGGCAGGACTTCTGGCCTCTTGGGGCCCTCCTCCTGACCAAGAGGCTTCCCTTTTGCTCAGGAACACTGGCTTTCCTCCCCCAGAGCTCTGCCCTGCCTTGGGTCCATGGTCTCTTGCCTTCCCCCCAGAGCAGGCTTACATCTCAGGACCCCAGGTCTCTGGATGGAGGCTGGGTGGGGTTCCTGCTGCCTCCCCCTGTGGCTCTCAGAAAAGCATAGTCCCCCAGAGGACACCTCCCCATCCCCGTCTCATCCAGTCCCATCCCACACCAGGTTCTGCATGGAGCCATGCTCTCTCTGATTCAGGGGAAGAATTCTCACTGTCACCCAGAAAGTCCAATCCCCGCCAGTGGAAGTGTTGGTTGGGAAAGGGGTAGCCTAAGGTGGGAATCATCTGAGAACCTAGTAGGAAGAGCAAGCTGAGCTCTAGACTCAGCCCTGCTTCTGCCAAGCTCTGCGACCTAGAGCAAGTCAAGGTGCCCCTCTGTGCCTCAGTTTCCCCATGTGTATCTGTGGAAGGTGGACTAGGTAACCACATGGTCCTAGCTGGGTCTGTAAGTCTATGCCTATGGGACCCAGCCAGAATCCCTCGACCTGCTCCCCCCCGACCCCTCTCCTGAGACAGCTGAGATCTCGGAGCTGACTCGGGTGACCGCACCTGATTGGAAACACCAACACATGATTGTGCCTAGAGACAAGTGCTATATCTGCATCAGTTCAGTTAGTCCTCACAGCAGCCCTGAGGTGGGTGATAGTACCATCGCCGTTCCACCGAGGAGGACGCTGCGGCTCAGAAAGGTTAGGTGACGAGCCCAAAGACACACAGCATGGAAGCAGTGAGGTTAGAGGCCAGCCCAAGACAGTCTGACTTCCAGAGCCTGTACTCTTTCTGTTCATCCTGAATCCGAAGGTTCCTGGGCAGAAATTAGGGGCTACCTCCTCCACTAGCCTCCTCCTGATCTTGCTCAGCCATTATCGGGTTTGGGAGGGCTAAGAGGGGCCGTACTTGTGGATGGAGAGAAGATTCTGTCGGGAAGCCCTTGCATGCCCAGCCCCCGTTCCCTGGCCCAGTCAGCCTCCCTGTGGCTCTGGGGGCCCTCCCAGCCCCCACCCTGCCTCGGGCGCCTGGTCAGGACACACAGAGCCATGGGTGCAGGAAGGAGACTGTGTCGGAGGACGGAAGCCTCGGCCCAGCTCCTCCCACCAGGCTTCTAGAAAAGGGTGACACACAGCCCCCGGTCCAGAGGCCTAGTCCATGTGGAAGGACCCTGTCCTCAGCGGATCTCCTTTCCCACCCTGTGTTGCAGAACTCCCCGGGGCCCCCACCAACCTGGGTATCTCCAACATCGGCCCCCGCTCTGTGACCTTGCAGTTCAAGCCGGGCTACGACGGGAAAACCTCCATCTCCCGCTGGCTGGTGGAGGCCCAGGTAAACCCTGATGCCAGGGGACCCGCAGCCCACACAGCCTGCTCCCTTGGCCTTGGGCACACCCCTGTACTTGAGAGCAAATCACATGTGTGTTGGGGTTTTAAATATGCAGCTGTCAGATGGCCAGATACACCAAAAATGCCACCATTCCCAGGTCTGCCTCCGCTTCGCTGAGCCCTGTGCACGCACATATGTACATGCACACATATGCACACGTGCGAGCACACACAGGTACACGCATGTGTGCACATGTGCCTACACACCAGTCCCATGGGTCGGGTGTGGACCGGCCGGCCTGGAGAAATACACCGCTGCGGCCCACACCCCCGTAAGTGGGGAGTCTCCACTTTGGCTCCACCCGGGAGCTCATTAAATACCCAGATTCCCGGGTACCAACCCCAGGGATTCTGATGGACTAGGTCTAGGGCAGGGCCCTGGGGTGGGTTTCTAGTAAGCATTCCAGCAGCTTCTGATGCAAGGTGGCCTGGGCTCATGCTTGAAGTCATGCTTCAGGGCCTGGAAAGGTGGTGGGGCCCGCCGGGTGAGCCCTGGGATGGAATCAAGATCTTCCGTGGGCAGGACTTCACCTCTGAGAACCTGGGGCACAGAACATCTCAGCCCCACAAGCCGAGAAGGTCTAAGAGTGTCTCCCTTTTCCAGGTAGGCGTGGTCGGGGAGGGAGAGGAGTGGCTGCTGGTTCATCAGCTCACCAACGAGCCGGACGCCCGCTCCATGGTGGTGCCTGAGCTCAACCCCTTCACCTACTACAGGTAACAGGGCCAGATGCAGGGACTGCCCAGACCCAGCTGGGCTTTGGCCCTGGGGTCCTGCCCTCATCACTTTGCTCACTCCCTTCCCCCACCCCAGCTTCCGAATGCGCCAGGTGAACATCGTGGGCACCAGCCCCCCCAGCCAGCCTTCTAGAAAGATCCAGACCCTCCAGGCACCCCCTGACATGGCCCCCGCCAACGTGACCCTGCGCACGGCGAGTGAGACCAGCCTATGGCTCCGCTGGATGGTGAGGCCCCCACGAGGGCAGTGGGGCTGGGATAGCTCCTTGGTGCTTGTCACCCTACCATGGTCATTGTCCCTGGGGGACCACATCAAAGAGGGGTTCACCAGAACACCCACAGCTCCCTTCTCTTTTCTTTACACCCAGCACCTTTAAGGTGCCTCATACTCAGTCTCGGCCAAAAGAATAAAAGCCTTTTATGAGAGGGAGCTAGAAGACACTGTTCAGTGAGCAAAGCGTTTTACGTATTTCTTCCATTTAATCCTCCCAGTCACCCTGCAAAGGGCACATCGAGACCCCAGTTTACAGCTAAGGAAACTGAGGGTCAGAGGAGTCAGGAACTCGCCCATGGCCACACAGCTCCCAAGTGGTGGGCCTGGGGTTCAGGTGTAAGTGGTCCCCTACACCAAGTCCGAGAGTGAGGGGTCACATCTGAGGTGGCGGGACAGGTGCAAGAGATCACCCCCACGGGCCAGGGTTGCTGGTTGAGGGCCGTTATCCCCAGCGACCCTGCCCACCCTGAGGGCTTCCTCCTGGCAGGCACAGTTCTGAGCTCTGTATTCGAAGTCCGGCCTGGAACCCTCTCCACCCGCTTGTGACAGCAGAGTGATCCTGAGCTCCTGCTTCACAGATGGGGAAACTGAGGCAGAGAGCAGTCAGATCGCTGGCCCGAGTCCCACCCACCCTCACCAACGTCCTCCCCCACCCTCTAGTTAATAGCAGGGCTCGGTTTCCCACCCTGGGGGGTCTGGCCTCCCAGAATCCGGAGTCCTAACCCTTGAGCACACTGCCACCCCGTCTTCTAGGGATCAGGAGAGAATGTGTCTCCCCGATGCCGTCCCCCCGAGGACAGCGTTGTCCAGACTGCTGCCCCACGCAGCAGTCATCCAAGAGGTGTGAGGCACATACAGGAACTCTGAGACAAGCGAATGTGGGGGACGGCGCCCCGCAGCCTGGCTCCTGTCCTTAGTGCAAGGAAAAGCCTGCCTGACCCCACTTCGCCGGCCGATCTGGCCACACACGACTTGGGTTTTGTGTCCACATGAGCTCTCTTAACACTTGCACAAAACACAATTTGCAAAACACCAGGCTGTGGGATTGACTGGAAATCCCTTACGCCCTTTCACTCAGGTGGACGCCTGGTAGAAGGAGCTCATGGCCCCATCAGCCTGGGACAAAGGGTAGTTCCTAATTCTGAGTCCCCTCCCGGGGGGCTGGTGCCAGGCACAGCTCAGCGGCCTCACGGCCCCAGACGTGTGCAGCCCGCATTACTGCAAGCCTAGGCTCTGCCCCCCTCTGGGCCGGCTCCCGCCTTCCTCTAGTAGCTCACTTTAAGGTTTCCAAACACTAAAAGACTAGATAGAGACTGACTGATGCCCCGTGGCGGCTGGGGGGTGCTGGGGGAGAAATAAAAAGGCAATTGGTGCCCCGCGCAGGGCCCCAGGCACCTCCAGACCCGCCTAATGGTGCACGGCCTGTTACTTTTCCCTGGCAGGTAAGGAAGCGTGTGCTCTAAGCCCATCGATTTCTGTCTTAATGGTCTCTGGTCGGCTTCACTAAGTGTCTGCGGAGCAGCGGCCGGCCAGAGGCAGCGAGAGTGCTGGGAGTGAGGCAGAGGCCAAGGAACCGGAGGAAGTGGGTCAGAATGTGGGGAGCCTGTGGACCGCGGGCCCTTCAGAACCCCCAGGGAAGCAGTATGGCAGGGAGGTGAAGGCCAAGGGCCTTCGGAGGGAGCCTGAAGGCAGAGTCCTCCATTCACACCTGCTCCCGATCACAGGTCCCCCCCACCATGCACACACCCCCATTGCCTACCAACACTGCCCAGGTTCATCCAAATGACCTTGAGCCAGCAGCCACAGCCCCAGCAGCCAAGGAAGGGAATCTGTCTGTTCTCTTGGCTGAAACTTCCTAGAAGGGGAGGCCGAACATGGAGCAGGAGAGACTGGGGCCTGCTGCTGGAAGGGCTGCTGCCAGTGCCGGTGTTCCCTCCGGCCCGAGATGCTGTGTCCCACACTTGCTTCTCCATGGGTGCGCGTGCACTGGGAGCAGGCGTGTTAGAAGCAATTAAGTGAGTGTGTGTTGGCACTCTACGCGAGGGAGTTAAGTGGTAGAGACAGCCAAGGCCACGGGTGCTGTGCTCATCAGCCTGTTGGACAGACAGGCTTTGTGGGTCTCCTCTCCAGTCTGACGACCCCAGCCGGGTCCTCAGTTTGCCCTGGACACAGTAAAGTGTGGATGCCGCCTCTCCTTGGAGCTTGGCACAGACAGGCAGGGAGACAGGAGCCACCAGATCACAGACTCACAATCTAAGCCCTCCTCGGGGAGAGCAACTCACATGGGCACGCACAGCTTGGACGGTGGGTGTGGTAATCCTGTAGGGCTCCCTGGAAGAGGGTGCATGAGCCAGATAGTTCCCCACACGGGGCGGGCCTGGCCTCACAGCCGCTATACGATCCCACCTTCCCGCAGCCTCTCCCGGAGATGGAATACAATGGGAACCCCGAGTCGGTGGGCTACAAGATCAAATACAGCCGGGCAGACGGCCACGGCAAGACGCTGAGCCACGTGGTCCAGGACCGTGTGGAGCGTGAGTACACCATCGAAGACCTGGAGGAGTGGACAGAGTATCGCGTCCAGGTCCAGGCCTTCAATGCCATCGGGAGCGGGCCCTGGAGCCAGACGGTGATGGGCAGGACCCGGGAGTCAGGTACTGCAGCCCTTGCCCTGGGTCCCGCTAGCCTGTGGCAGGGATCGCCCCACCTTTGTCTCTGCCCTCACGGCCTTCCAAGGCCACGAAGGCTGGAGCCGTTGTTTAGAATAAGCCCAGGCTCACTTTCCCATTTGTGTCCAACATCCCGGCAAAGCGCCAGACCTTTCTGCCGTATCCCCCAGTATCTTCCCACTGGTCCCAAAGTTGGGGGGCTGGGGGATTCCCACCCCTGCGGGTTAGCCAGAAGGTCTTTCCCTGCAAACTGCCCATGCTTTCTGGGCCCTCCCCTTTAACTCTGACACCCAGCAGAGGCCGAAAGAACCGGAGGTGGGGAGGTCGGATCAGCTCTCAGAACATTCCAGAACCAGAACCAGCAGCTCATGGGACCCTGGCAAGGGTCACCCACAGAACATGAGCCCCCAGCCTTCGGGCAGCCTTCACGCACCCACATGTGGTTCGCTGCTCTGAGGCTTTTTCCTGGAACCTTTTAAAGGATGTCCCTCCCCCTCCCAGCCCCTCCCCCTCATCACTGCTCTGCAGACAGGAAGTGGGTGCTCGTCTGCACATTGGTCCCAGCAGAGGATAACAGGGAGGCTTATCTGAAACCAGAAGCAGCATCTGTGATGTTCCAGAGTCACCAGGAATCACTGCAGGATAATTTGCTACTTGGGGACCAGGTGTCACACCTCCTTCCCCTGGAGGGCCCACTGGGTCCTGAGCTCCCTCCGTCTTCTCTGTCTCTCCCTCAGTTCCGTCCTCTGGCCCCACTAACGTGTCTGCACTGGCCACCACCTCCAGCAGCATGCTAGTGCGCTGGAACGAGATCCCAGAGGCCGACCGAAATGGGCTTGTGCTGGGCTACAAGGTGAGTCCCGGCTCCAAGGTCACCTGCGTCCTCTTCCAAGGTGCCCTATCCCGTGACCCCTGGGGCCCGCATCTCCACCTTCTGGAATGGATGCGCAGGGGATCCCAGCATCTGTGCTCCAGGTGGCACGGCAGCCAAGGAATCTTCCGTCAGGACTGCGGGCCTCCAGGGAGGCCCAGGTCCTTCGCACCCATCCCCACCGCCCCCAGGAGGCCCTGCTGGCTGCCCCTGCCTCGCTCAAGCCTGTGGGCCTGGTTCCCACCATCTTCTAGAACCGCTGTCAAAGCTGCGCCCAGCCGCAGGGTTCAGCCCTGGCCCACAGATTGGGAGACGTGGCTTGACGTCCCTGCTCTGCCAGTACTGGCTGTGTGACCTCGTGCCAGTCACCCCTCCTCTCTGAGCCTGTTTTTCCCAGCTAAATGGTCTCTAAGGAACCTTGCAGCTCCATGGCCCAGTGCATCTTTGTGTCCCCTGCTCTCCCAGAGCCCAAGCTCCACCGTATCCCATGCCCTCCTGGGGCCAAGCCTCTCCAAGGAGCCCAGGGCCCACCAGCTCTGTTCCCGCCTGCCTCGCTCCGGGGTGAGACTTGGGGAGGGAGCTGGCAGGCAAGACCCAGACCGCAGGCCCTCACCCTTGCACTGTGCTCTGGCAGGTGATGTATAAGGAGAAGGACTCAGATTCCCAGCCCCGGTTCTGGCTGGTGGAAGGGAACTCCTCCCGCAGTGCCCAGCTCACGGGCTTGGGCAAGTACGTGCTCTACGAGGTCCAGGTGCTGGCCTTTACGCGCATTGGGGATGGCAGCCCCAGCCACCCCCCCCATCCTGGAGCGGACGCTGGATGATGGTGAGTTTGAATCCCTGTGCACCTGGGGAGGCTGGGAGCTCTCCTTCCTCCTGCCTGCCTGGCCCTGCCCCTCTGGGCTCACACTTTGCCCCAAACAGAACCATGGCATCAGGCTTCTCCTGTTGGGGGCAGGTCACCAAGGGCCACCAACCCATCGTGAGGGGTTACACATTCCAGACTCTGCTTCCCTGAGGAAGAAATGGAAGGCAAGAACAATTTGACTTTGGATTCAGTCTCTTGCACGCTCTCTGGGACAAGTGCATGGAATAGAGACCTGTTTTAATTTGGGTTTGCCTGGGGCAGGTTCACTTGGAGCAAAGCTCTGTGCAAGGAAAAGGCTTGCTTTTTCCTGGGCACGAGCCTCCTGGTCTCATTTACAAAAGAGCAGTGCCAGCAGGGCTGCAGGCATTCATCCCCGCAGCAGAACTTTCTGTCAAAGCCTGATTGACGGGTCCTTGGCTCCCTTCTCTCCCCCCACACACATACCCTGACCGCCCCCCACAAACACTGCTGGGGTCCGGACAAGAGCGCAAAAGGAAGCGCTCTTCCTTATAAATCAAGCTAATGATCTGTTAAATTCAGTATGTTTGGCTCTCCTGCCTTGACCTGGAAGGCCAGGTTCAAGTTTAGAAATCTCAGACTTCGGGGGATTCTCTGTTGGGATGAGGTTGCCCAGGGAGGATCGCCTGTGCCTTGTTCTTTTCCCCTCCTCTCCCCGGCACATGGTACTTGGTCTCCATCCACCTGCCCCAAACAGCTGCCCCTCCCCCAGCCATCCATCGGTCCGGAGGTGCAAGTCTGGGGAACGGGCCCATGCAGACCCTCATAAAGGAGCGTGTCGGGCTCAGAGTGAGCCCCCCACCAATCCTACCCTATGGGTGGAAGGAAGTCAGACTGGCGCCTTCTGTATTAGAGACCAAGGGCAAGTCCCCCTCCCCAGTACAACTAAGCATGTACATATATGTGCACGGACATGGACCCTGAGCCACAGGAAGCTGGAGCCTCTACCCTTCTGCTTCCTGCCAAATAACGCCTCTTTTTGAGGGTAGAAACCTCACCAATAGCATCTCTGTGTCCTGTGTTGGATCGCGGTGTCAGGGACAGAGCAGCACTCCACAGAGATCATCGAGCTGAGTGTGCCCTTCCCCCACGGCCCACCCACCTGCTCTGCTGGAGCTGGACCCAGGGGGCGGGGGAAGGGGCTAAGCATCAGCTGCCCTGCCACTTGCTTCTCCTTTGTCCCTTCCAGTCCCAGGACCACCCATGGGCATCCTCTTCCCAGAGGTAAGGACCACATCCGTGCGACTGATCTGGCAGCCCCCCGCTGCCCCCAACGGCATCATCCTTGGTAAGCCTCTCCCCTCTCCAGTGCCCTGACTGTGGGTAGAAGGAGGCATAAGGTGTAAAGGAGGCCAGAGGCAGACTAGGCCCAGGAAGTGTCCACCTCTTCTCAAGAAGAATTTCGAGTCCTATATCCCCCATTAGAAATATCGCTGGGAGGGCATAGTCAAGGTTGAGGTTCCTTAAGGGCAATTCATTAGCTGTGTGTTCCTAAATATTCCGCGAAGCCCCTGACTGGCCATCTGGTAAACCTCGGCTGCAATTCCTAAGCATGACCAGGTGAGGGCGCACTAGCCAACTCCGCAAAGCCAGTCCGACCCAAGGCACAGAGGGACACTGTGGGTCAGAAGCATCCTTTCCTATTCAAGGATCCTCCCTTAACACACACACAGACACGCACATGCATGCAGGCCCCCGGGGGAAGGCTCACGGGGTTGAGGGACTTCGACTTGCCTCCCAGCACAGCCTGTGTCCTTCCTTCCCACAGCCTACCAGGTCACCCACCGGCTCAATGCCACCACGGCCAACACGGCCACCGTGGAGGTGCTGGCACCCAGCGCCCGCCAGTACACAGCCACCGGCCTCAAGCCAGAGTCCGTCTACCTGTTCCGCATCACGGCCCAGACCCGCAAGGGCTGGGGAGAGGCCGCCGAGGCCTTGGTGGTGACCACCGAGAAGAGAGGTGACCACCTGCTGGGGCTAGGGAGGCCTGGGAGGCAGCCAAGGTAGAGGGGGGAGGAGGGAGTCCCAGCCAAGCCAAGTGCTCCTGCCCTGTCCTCGAGGGGACCTGGGGATCAGCCAGTTACGAGCCACGTTGCCCTGCCCTGGAATGGCAGGAGGGTTGCAGTCTCTGAGGTCGGGGTCAGCAAGCACTTGGTGGACTCCAGAAACCGGGCTGGGAGGCCCCATCCCGAGGATCCCACTCTGCCTCAGCTACTGGGTTTCTGAAGGGGGGGCGTTGGTGAGACCAGCTTCGGTCCCCTCACCCCTTCGCTCAAAGGCCAGAGGCCAGGCTCCCCTGAAGCAGGCTGAGACCCCGATTCCTGTAAACGTGGTTCGTTACACCGTGTTCCCAGGAAAAACCAGTAAGACAGCAGCTCTCAACTGGGAGTTGTCACAGCTAAGAGGGAGCTACGACCAGCATCTGCCCGTGGCGGGGGGGGGGCACCCAGAAAGCTGCCAACACCCTACAGAGCGCAGGACGGCCCCGTAACACAGACCTGGCCTCCCCAAGTGCCCGAGTGCTGAGTCTGAGCCCCTGCAGCAGGGCCTGGGGCGGCGAGAAGGAGGCCGGGCGGGCAGGGCATCCGGTGGAGCCCCACCGAGGGAAGCGTGGGCTCCGTCCCACCCTGCAGGGACCGCACAGGCCCCGTCTCGGCGCTGGGCAGGCGGGGCCAAAGGAGCTGGGTGTTTGGACCTCCTCCCTGCCAGCCCCAGGTTGGGCTGCCCTCAGGAGATCTGAATTCCCAGGCACCTGGGCCTCCAATGAGCTGAGGACAGTTCACGGACCAGGAGCCACGGAGCCATGGGTGCCGGCGGTCGGGACCGTGTGCACAGAAAGGGGCTAGGGCTGCGGGTATCAGGTGCCTCCTTCTCTTCCTTGAGAAAGCTCACCCCCCACCCCCTTCCTGGCTGACCCCCCTGCTCCTCTCCCCCTCCGCCACCTCACAGACCGCCCCCAGCCCCCCAGCAAACCGGTGGTGCAGCAGGAAGACGTGAAGGCGCGCAGCGTGCTGCTGTCCTGGGAGCCGGGAAGCGACGGGCTGTCCCCCGTGCGCTACTACACGGTCCAGACCCGCGAGCTGCCCGGTGGCCGGTGGGCGCTGCACTCGGCCTCCGTGAGCCACAACGCCTCCGCTTTCATGGTGGACAGGTGAGGCCCCGGGCTGCCGGCAGCTCCCCTCTACCCCTCCCAGTGCAGATAGCACCAGAGGGGTTCCCGCGGTGGGGGAGAGCACTGGAATGGGCGTCGGGGGGTCTCCAGCATGCTCCTAGAGCCTGCCCACCCCCAGATGCTTTTCACGGCCCGCACCTCCCAGAACCCCATCTCTGGCTCTGTCCTAACCTCCCCCACCCCGCTGCCCCTGCTCTCGGGAGCCCTGCGAGGCCTGCCTCTTCATTACCTATTTCTGGAGCCTGGAAGCCTCTCAGGGAGGGCCTCGCCATCCCTCCTCAGCCATCCCTCCTCAGCCATCCCTCCAGCCGACAGCACCTCCCTCTCCATCTGCAACAGGGGAGTGGAGCCGGCTCCGAATTCTGGCTTCGATTTAATTCCTCGTGGGTCATATTTTTTTATATTCTGGCTGACGTGACCCAGAGTTTTGAGCAATTCTCTCCTCCTCGCCCCCCGCCCCCAGTAAATCAAAAAGGAAGACGTTTGCCCGGAGAGGAACAAGGCTTATAGAGATGAAGTGCTGGTGAACTCTTGAGAACCTTGAACCCTGCTAAGTTTACTAAATTCTAGAAAGGGACGGCGTTTCCCCGGGGAGGAGTTTGCTCACAGGGAGAGCTGTCGGTGCTCTCCTAGCAGCTTGCCCCTGTGAGGTAGGAGACGTGGAGACAGGGCCACCTGGGGGCTGGAAGCAAGGCCATACCTGGGCTGGCATCAGGCCCCGGAGGCCCTGGGCCCTGTATGCCCAATGGAACACTCCTAGCTTCTGAGCCTTGACGTTTCCATCTGTGTAACAGATCAGCGCCCTCTGCCCCCACCTTTCCCCTAGCAGGGAGGGTGGGGTGAGGCATTAGGGGGTACCTCTGTTGCTTGAAACTTCTCATCCCCGCAGGCTCAAGCCTTTCACATCCTACAAGTTCCGCGTGAAGGCAACCAATGACATTGGGGACAGCGAGTTCAGCGAGGAGTCGGAGCCGCTGACCACTCTGCAGGCCGGTCAGTGACCCCCTCCACTCGGATCTCTTTCTCTTGGCCCACTGGCACTTCTGGGGCACTGGGAGTTCTCTTCGGAGGGGAGGGGCCCCCAAAGGTGGGAGGGGCGGAGGGCCCAGTAGGCCCTGTGTCTGGCTCCCTGGGCAGAGTCCCAAGGAATTTTGGGCCGGGGGGCCTTTGCCGTGGTTCGGGCTCCCATGCCAAGCCCAGCATCCTAATGTGTTCTGTCCCTGCTGTCCCCAAGCTCGTGGCCAACCCAGAAAACCAGTGAAGGGGCGTGGGGGGGGGGGCCTTAGCAGCGGCAGCGCAGAGACCTATGGCTTCAGGGACAAAGAGGAGGGGGCTCTGGGCTCTTGGATGCAGACTGGGGTCAAGGCTCTGGGCCTCCTCCCTCCACATTTGCAGAAGAATCTCCTCCCTGTGGCCTCCCAGGGGGCCCAGGCCCCAGCCCCCGGAGCTCACGCGTCTGTCTCTCTCCCCAGCACCCGACGAAGCACCCACCATTGTGTCGGTGACGCCCCACACGACCACCTCCGTGCTGATCCGATGGCAGGTACGGCCCGGCAGCCAGCAGGCGGGCAGGGGCCCACGGCCCAGGAGGACTCAGGCACCCCCTGTGCAGGGACCAGCAAGGCGACAGCCCTCAGCAAGGCTGGAGCATCACACACACACACACACACACACACACACACACACACAGAGCGGTGCCTCTCTTTCTGCTCTCCAGATAATCCTCTCAGGCAGGCCCTCCTCCTGTCCCCTCCTGCAGACCAGGACCCAGTCCTCAGGGAAGTGACACAAATGGGCCGGGTTGCATAGCTAGTAAGTGGCAGGGTCAGGCTTCGTGCCCTCAGAGCTGCCAGTCGTGGGACAGAGAAGTGCGTGGGGCTTTCAGGGCCCCCAAATCCCCATGAATCCTGGCCCACCATCTGGGCGCAGAGAGAAGCCCCTTTCTCCACTCCTCCCCCGTTGCCTATTCTTTGGTGGCTACTGTTTTGTTTTTTAAGATTTTTATGTATTAGAGCATGAGCAGGGGGAACAGCAGGCAGAGGGAGAAGCAGGCTCCCCGCTGAGCAGGGAGCCCGATGTGGGGCCCGATCCCCAGACCCTGGGATCATGACCAGAGCCCAAGGCAGACACTTCACCGACTGAGCCCCCCTGGTGTCCCTGGGTGGGCTCGTTGTCCTGCCGCAGTCTGAGGAGGTCCACCAGATGCATGAGACGAGGCTGCCAGTCTCCACCTGCAGACCCTCCCGTCCGCTCTCAGGTCCAGCCTCTGGACTCCGCAGGTCACCCACAGGGGCCCCAAAGCAGCAAACCCTTGTCTCCACTTTTGGGATCAGAGGGGCAGGCGGTTGTCCGCTGCAGCCCCCCTGACTGGAGACCCCTTGAGAGGAAACCAGAAGGGGCCCGCAGCCCCTCCCCAGCCTGAGGCCTCATGGCAACAGGATAGTCCATCCGGTAGAAATGACCTCATGCGGCCAGAAGCCAGGACAAGGCCGGCGGAGCCCTGGGCCATCCTGGCGAAGGGGCAGGGAGATGCCAGCGGCAGCCAGGGAGACAGTGAAGGAGCTAATACAAGACTGAGCCCCTTCAGTGGGATTTTAAAACGCGGCCTCTTAAAAAGCCGCTTCCGCCTTCTCCTAAAGCCTGTTCTCCCACCGGGCCATGGATGGGAGCAGAGAGCCAAGGAGACGATGATAAAAGGCAGGGCAAGACCAGTGCCTCCAGCGATAGGGGGCGGCCTCGTAGGAACCCCAGGAGACACTGGTCGGGGGGGAGGTGGCAGGGTGGGTCACCAAGCCCAGGGAGGCTGGTGCTGTGTGTCCTTGGGCAAATTCCTTACCCTCTCTGAGCCTCCCCTCCTGCTCCGGGAATGGAAGTGGCATGGAGAGAGATTCCGGTCCTCCCTGCCTTGCAGGGACTATTGCAGAGATTAAATCACCTCATTGGAAATGCTTCTTAATTTAAAAATGCTCAGCGTCCTTTTGATTTATTTTCCCAGTGGCCACTCAGGCTCAGCCCTGTGGTCACAGGAGGCAGCATGGGGAGGGAGGGAGGGGGGCAGAGTGGAAGCGGGTGAACCTCAGTGTTTCCTGCCCCTCCCCATTCTCCACTCCCTTCCCTGCAGCCCCCAGCAGAGGACAAGATCAACGGCATCCTCCTGGGCTTCCGGATCCGGTACCGGGAGCTGCTGTACGAGGGGCTGAGGGGCTTCACGCTGCGTGGCATCAACAACCCGGGGGCCAAGTGGGCTGAGCTTACCTGTGAGTGGCATCTGCAGGGATCAGGGGACAGCGGGGCGGGTACACTCCCCTCCCAGCCCAAAAGCTTTCAGCTTCCTGGAGCCACCCTGACCTGAAACCCGCCGCCCTTTCCTGAGTGTGCTTCTTCCCGCCGCCCCCGTCCTGTTCAGCCACTGGGTGTTCACTGAGCACCTTCTGCGTGCCGTCGGACACTGGAAGCACCAGTGAACAGTGAACAGGAGAGATGTCCTCTGCCCTCTCGGAGCTTGTGGGCTCAAGGAGGAGGGGTGCTCCAGAAGTAAACTCACAATGTCCAAGACGGTTGGCATGATGGCCTTGGAGGCCTTTTCCATGGGAGCCAGTGCCAGGGAAAGCCTCCCAGAAGATGGCCTTGGCGCTGACCCTGATGGATGATCCCAAGTGAAACCCGCCCCCCCCCACAAAGCTAAGGGGAAAGCCCAGCAAAGGGTCTGCTGTGGAAAGGGCCAGGAGCCAACCCCGCCCATCCTGACGACCTGCTGGTGGAGGTCACTGTTCTGTCCCGAGATCCTCGGATCTGGCCTGTGAGTCCCAGAGGGAGTCACAGCCCCGGGAATGACGTGCTTGCCCTTTGGGGCAGGAGAGCGATGGCCAGCCGTGGAGGACCAGAGGCAGGGGTGCAGTCACCGAGAGAAGCAGGCGGCGGGGGCCAAGGCGGAGGCTCGGAACGGACTGGAGGGCCGGGATGGGAGATGCTGTGTGCCATGGCCACCGTGACCGGCTGGCGGAGGGGCAGGGAGTGGGCAGGAGAGAGTAGCCCGGGGACGGGGGTCCCTGAGCGGGTGGGAGACGGAGAGCGTGCAGGGTGCTCTCTCGTAATTCCCCTAAAGCGTTCGTGTCTTGGCGTCTAACGAGTATCAGCAGACAGTGAAATGGATGGACACGGGGTAGAGGAATGTTCCCAGAACTCCGTGTAGCTGATCCGACGGCTTGCATAATTTCGTTCGTGTTTTAGCAGACTGTGCTCGTGGTTGTGATTTCTTATGCCTGGGGATAACGCAATCCTAGTTCCTGGTAGTAAAAGGGTTTCTGGCTCAGAGGAGAAAATGAACACCCCCCATGGTGTGGGGATGGTTCTGTCAAAGTCCCGCCCCAGACGAGGGAGCGACTGGGGACCATGGGTCCCCCCAGGGCCAGTGGGGACGGGGCATCCCCCAGAGCCGTCCTTAGGGTGCCGGGCACTGGGGTCTCGCGGTGCCCTGTGTCGTCCCCCGCCCCTGCCGTCATGCGCACCGTCTCTCGCTCCTGCCTGGGGCCCCCCACTCACCATCAGGCACCCTGACACCCCTTCTGTCTGCTTGTGTGCTCCCAGCCACCCCCCGCTTGCCCCTTTCCTCGGGGTCTCTGCGGAGCGGGGTATGTGTACTAACCTCCTCTGTCTGCTGTCTCCCCCTGGCCCCCTCGGCCTCCCGCGCCGTAGCCATGTACGCTGTGCGGAACCTGAGCCGGCCCAGCCTCACGCAGTACGAGCTGGACAGTAAGTGTCCCTGCATGGCAGCTCCCGAGTGGGGCTCAGGCCTTCCACGGGGATGGGGAGCATGGGGTTTCTGAGGACACCCGAGCCCGGGTTGAGGGCTGCGCCCTCCTCAGGCCCCTTGAAGAATGGGGTCGCCCTAAGTGCACGTGACTTTCTGGAAACATGCAGAAATGTAGAGAGTGACCAGGGAAGCCTGCGTCCATCAGGTGCAGAACGGGGGAGGGAGCGGCTCCGGTCTTGTGCTCCATGGGGGGACTGCGGCAGGGGATGGCCGGAGGTCCATGGGAGGAGCTCCGGGTCTGCTGCTTGGAAGGGCAGGCGTCCACGGCACAGCCGCCCACCTCTCCCGTCGAAGGCACTTTTCTGCACTGCTCTGTATTCCAGGCCGACCCCCACCTCCGGAGTGAGCGGAACCCCCACTGTCCCCCAGGGACCTGGGGATGTTCCCAGGGGGATGTCTGGTCCAAGTCTCGCTCTCCTTCTAAAGTCCATGGTTCTCCCTAAGGCCCAGAGCTTGGGCAGAGGGACCCTGTTTTCTGTACGAAGCAGAGTGTGACACCATGTTGTCCTTCCCCTTCCTTCATCAGCCAAGTGGCCCACATGGGCAGTGTGGCTGGTTAAATTAGGGTGACTCCCCCACCCACATTCCATCAGAGGAGCAGAACTCCCCCTGAGGAAGGGGAGAAGGGCAGGGTGCCCAGGGAAAGAGGTAGGAGAACCTTCTAGCCTCCCCCCAGCCAAGCAGGGATGGCAATTCCCATCCAAGGTTTCAGGGCCCATTTTCCTACAACTGTCTTGTCTCCCAGCTTCCGTCCAGGCATCCCCACCCAGGACCCCCAAACTTGGCAAAAACTTAGCATCTCTTAGCCTAGAATTCACATCCAATCAGCCCCTTCCCTGAGGGGAGAGCTGCCTGATGGGGCTGGGGCAACTGGGAGCTTCAGGCGTCTGCCATGGTGGGGACAGGGTGACCTGTGACCCGTGTGCCCAAGACAGGTTGGAATGGGTGACCTGGGACCCGTGTGCCCAGGAGAACAGCACTGGTTCGCACGAGCTGTCCCTGCGCAAATATTAATAGGGTCTCTTTGAGTCTCAGAAGTGTCTAGTGTGCTCACCCTCGGCTGGGAAGCCATCCACAGGCGTCCCATGTCCCAATTCCCGGGGGGCGGACCACCTCCCAGCCACCCCAGTCCTTCCTTCTTCTTTCCTGAACCTTCAGGCAGGAGCTAGAGTCACAGATGCGTCATCACAGGCTCCGTCCTCCATGCTGGCTCTGTCCCCTGCAGGGCAGTGACCTCTCTGTGCTTCTACCCCCCTCCCCCAGATCTGAACCAACACCGGCGGTATGAGATTCGAATGAGCGTGTACAATGCCGTGGGGGAGGGACCCTCAAGCCCCCCCCAGGAAGTCTTCGTTGGGGAAGCCGGTGAGCCCACCCCCCTCCCAGCCCCAGCCTCTCCCACCCCGGAAGTCCAACTAGAGGACATAGGGGATTCGGGGGCTCCAACCCACCTCCTCGTCCTCCCTAAAGCCCACTGTACCCCTCACTCACGACTTCTCATGCCCTCCAGTGCCCACTGCGGCACCCCGTAATGTGGCTGTCCACGGTACCACGGCCACACAGCTGGATGTGACATGGGAGCCACCACCGCTGGAGAGCCAGAATGGAGACATCCAGGGCTACAAGGTATGGGGTGCTCCAGCAGGGTAAGGGTCTGGGGGTGGAGGCGGGGGGCCCAAGCTGCCTGATGGGGCCGGGGCATCTGGGAGCTTCAGGTGTGGTGGGGACGGGGTGACCTGTGACCCATGTGCCCAGGACAGGCCGGAAAGGGTGACCTGTGACCCGTGTCACAAGCTGGGGCAAAGGGCCAGCTTGGGAGTGGGAGTGAGCCCTGGGTGGTAGGAGGGAGAGGTCGGCAGATCCACCCCGGCTCCCTTGGCTGTGGGCACCCAATCCCCGGGAACATTGTGCGCTGACGCAGCACCACACCTGGCCTCTCCGGCAGCCTAGCCCGGCGGAGCTCAGAGGCAAGAAGCCCGGGCCTTGCTTCAGGCAACACCCCTGACCCCAGTCCCCCAATTCCCAATGCCAGCAAAAGACGCCCCCCAGATGGTCCTTGGGCCAACCCCAATTACAATATTGATTTGACCAAGTGGCAGAGGCACCCTCGCTGAGGATGTAGAAATCTCTGTTTCAAATTATTTCCAGATTTTAGAGGATGTCACGTGTCCTAACAGAATTCAGTTCATCCGCAGCACTCTCCAAGCCCTTTAGAACTCCTTCACTGTCTGGAATGCCTGTGTAGTCGGCAGAGTATAGACGTTTGCACCCATTGTACAGATGAGGAAACTGAGACCCAGTTGAGGGGGTGGGCAAGAGCACAATAGAAGCAGGTAGCCAAGAGTCAGACGCCAGGTCTGCCAGCCCTGACCCTGTGTAGGGCGGAGGGGGGCACGGCACACCACCACCCAGCAGAGGAGGCAGTGGACAGAGTAATAATGCTGTGTCTCCTTGGTCGGAGCTGTTGGTGTGTCCGACGCCTGCGTCCTGGGCCAGTGCCCAGCGCCACTCTGATTCCTGCTGGGGGTTTGTTCCAGGAGGAGCAAGAGGGGGAGTGTGAGATACCGCCCCCCACGAGGCCTCATGGTTTGCTGGCTCAGCCCCCTCATTGCACAGGCAGAAACCGAGTTCCCGCAAAGGCCAGGGGCGTGCCCGGGTCACCTAGCTTGTACTGTAGTGGCCCCAGTTGAAGATAGAAACCCACGTAGGAGTCTTTTTCCACCTAGGAGGTGGGAGGGAGGAGGGAAGGCATCTCACCTAGGAAGGATGATACACTGCCCAGGAGTGCCAGGGCGAAGGCTTAGTCCCAGACCCCCAGCACAGGCCTCCCATGGGAAGGAGGAGGAGCTGGGGCAGAGCCTGCCACCGTTTGTAGCCAGCAGACTGTCGAGATGCGGAAGTCTGCAGCGAACATGTAGCCGCAGGAAACACGCAGACACACGGACCGCGTCTATCACACGGCAGGTGTCTGCGTGCTTGGGAAACATGGAGACAGTCGGTATTCTTAGCTGGGGGCCCGGGATGGCCCATCCCAGATGTGCATTAGCCTCCATGGTAATTAGCACGGACGTGAATGATGGGCGGACGTCGCCAGCCGGTGGGCTTGGTTTGGGTCTGACTGAGCTGTGACGGGTTCCCCGGGCGGTCACGCCCATGCAGCTAAGGTCTTCCAGAGACGCGTGTGTGTTGAGCTGTTACTTTTTCCCAGCGGTGTTTCTCAGTCTGGGAGGAAATCAGTGAACAGAGAGGCAACATGAGCTTAAATTTCAGGGGAAGAAGACCAACAACGTGCAAAACAAGCTCCTCCAGAGGGTGGCAAAGGTGGTCCACGGAGGGCGTAGAACAAATGAGCCGGGGGAGTTTTGGAACTTTAAATAGGGTTGTTAGGAAAGGATTTAATGGGAACTGGACACTTGGGCAAAAATGAAGAACAGGGTGAGAATCACATGTTCTTCTGGGAGAAGAACATTCCAGAAAGAGGAAAAGACAAGCAAAGGCCCTGGGGTCGGTGGGTGCTTGGTGTTTACAAAGCTCAACTAAGAGCCCAGTGCGTCCCAATGTGTGTGTGGAGGGCAGCATGATAGGAGATGGGTCAGGCAGTGACCTGGGCTACATCACCCAGGACACTCAAGGGCTTTGGCTGTCACTCAAAATGAGAGGACAGCCGTGGAAGGTTTGGGGCAAAGGAGGGCCACAGGTGACTTGGGTTTTGAAATGGGGAAAGCACGAAACCACAAAGAGGGGGCTGAGTCATCTAGGTGAGGCATGGCGGTGGCTGAGGCCAGCCAATAGCGCAGTGAGAGGTATTTGTTCTCCAGCTCGTTGGAATGATGGAGCTGGTAGAATTTGCTGAGTTGAATGTGGAGAGTGAGAGAGGATTTATAAGCAATTTGATGATGGAGCTTCCAGGCACAGAGCCGGAAGAGACAAAAGTGGGCAGAAGGAAGAAGTTTGCGGGGGAGAGCTGGAGTCGGCTGGAGACGTCGGTTGGACCCCCAAGGGGAGACGTCACATGAAGCCGATTTCCGTGTCTGGAGCTCAAGAGCGAGGGTCTAAACTGGACATGTGAATTGTGGAGTCCGCGGCATGTAGGTGAAAGCCCAGAGATTAGACCCAAATAGGAAACCCAAGAAGAATGAAAATTGAGAGACCTAGGACCAAAAAAAAGGGACTGAAGTCTCAAAACCTACATAAAGAACGTACTTCCCGGAGTAGGGAGGACTATGTTTTACTGAATACTGCTGAGAGCTCAAGCAAGATGAAATCTAGGAAGCAACTATAGCCCAAGGACTCAATCTGACCCCCCACTTGTTTGTGTAAATAAAGTTTTATTGGAACACAGCCACACTCATTTGTTTACAGATTGCCCGTGGGTGCTTTTGAGTTACCACAGAGATATGTGGCCTGCAAAACCTGAGATCTTTATTACCTGGCCCTTTCCAGAAAGCCTGCGGAGCCCAGGATTATTGCATTAGCCAGGTCAAGTTCACAGGTTACTCTGACGAGAGTGGGGGGTGGGGGCGCCAGCTTGGAGGGATTGAAGAGAGAAGGAGAGGAGGCAGTGAGTACACATACCCCTTTTAAGGAGTGTTGCTTTAAAGGGAAAATGAAACAGGAATTAGAAACAGTCAACAGAGGGGGTTTTAAGACTGAAGAAATGCTGGCTCGCGTCTGTGCGGATAATGATCCAGGAAGAGGGGAGATGTAGTGATTCTAGGAAGAGCAGAAGCTGAGGGGAATGAGGTCCTGGAGGAGGTGAGAGGGGCTGGGATTTCATGCCGGAAGGTGAGGTCGTCTCACAGAGGAGCCTGCCGTGCAGCCCGGGCACAGAGGGAGGCAGGCAGAGGATGTGGACGCAGGGGCTGCTGAAGGTATGGGTGGCACCCCGGGAGTGTGGAGAGAAAATCTCATCTGATTGCTTCCGGGTGAAGGAGCCTCACGAGGGGAGGGGAGAGGCAGGGGGGAGCAGTGGATGAGATCTGGATGTAGGAGATGCGCCCAAGGCAGGTGGACCAGGGTGGTGTAGCACGGTGAAGACTGAACGCGTGAATTCCCTGCGGCAGCGTGTGGCTGTGGTCCGGATTCAACCAAGGCTTAAAAGCTGGCCTCTTGGATCTGATGGAGCCCTAAGCGCAGGGGAGTGAAATGGTAGATATGAGGGGCGATGACTTTCTACATTCATTGTCTGCATCTGCACTCGGCAAGTCCCATCTGTGTGCTGAGAACACCCAGATCTCAGGTGTTGACCTTGGCCTTGACCCTGCACCCCTAATTCAGCGGGAACTTTGTCCACTATATTGAGTGCCCGTCACTGGGAACGGTACATGAACAACCATATCAACTCTCTCTCTCTGATACCTACTCGCATCGGAAGAATCTGTTTTTAAAGGTGGGCGGGGCTAGATGAAAGCAAGGATTTCTGGGTGACGAGATGTCCTGAGTGCCAGGTGGGGACCCTGGCACTAGGCTTCCTCCAGGCAAATTGAGAAATTGAGGTCCGTAGCTTGCAGCAATCTCCTCGGCCAGCAGGTGGCGCCAAATACTCGCTGATCATCCCCGGGGCGGGAGGCTTGCGGCTTTCCCGCGCGTCTCTCTGTTCAAAGTTCTTGACGCTAGTGAGGAGTCCGGAGCTTCACGGACAACACCATAGCTCAGGGATCACCTGGTGAAGTCCCCGTGCTCGTGCTCGTGAATGGGGCGCTGGGGGCTTAGCCCCAGGCCGGCCTGCAGGCCTGCAGATGAATTCACCAGCGGGGTCCTTGTCAACCGGCAGGTGCTTTGCAGCCTGTGAAGGGGGAAGGAGGGTGGGCCTGACATTCCGCATCCCTAACGGGTTCCCAGCTGATGGTGATGCCGAGAGTTCCTTGCACTCTCCTCTCCGTTGGGGCAGAGTCTACCCACCCGGCACTTCCCTCCCCGGCTCAGGGTCCTGAAGTGTGGAGCTGACTTCTTCCTTCTGTAACTGTGTCCCCTATCCCGAGGGCTGATGGGCCTGTGCTGTGCTAAACCCTCCCGTCTCCGGGGCACACAGATACGTGGGGTCTGTGCTCTCCTGGGACATAGTGCGGCAGAGACTGAAGTATTTGCTGTGCAAAGAAGGTTCTGGAAGGGTTTCTAAAACCGCTCTTAAATACTTCTGTACTATTCCCTGAGGGGCGCACGCCCGCTGTGCAGGGCGTGTGGACGGCACCAACGAGGGCATCTCTGCGACCCTGGGGCTGGCAGGGGGCAGGAGGAAAGCCGAGTGCGTCCACCTCACTCCCACGATTGGCTGTGCCCACAGATTTATTTCTGGGAAGCCCAGCGTCGCAACCTCACAGAGCGGGTGAAGACACTTTTCCTGGCCGAGAACGGCGTGAAGCTGAAGAACCTGACCAGCTACACTGCCTACATGGTCAGCGTGGCCGCCTTCAATGCCGCGGGGGACGGGCCTCGGAGTCCCCCCACCCGAGGCCAGACACAGCAAACAGGTCGGGGAGAAGGGCTGCGGGGGGAGGGGGGCACCGGGCACCCGCGCTCCTGGGGTGGGGGGCGTGGTAGAAACAGCCGCCGTATCTGCCGAGACATCTGGGCTGGGCACCCAGGCCCAGGAGATGGCCTCCAGAGATGGAGAGCACAGCCCCAAAAGAGGGGGCCTCCGTGAGAGTGCTCAGAAGACAGAGGCTGTCCCCAGAGAGCCTTGGAGAGAGCCCCCGGATGTCCCCAGTCCTCCCCACATCTTGTAGCCCGCCAACCCCATTTCTGGCCGGGCCTTGTTCTGACCGAGCTTTCTGGGTCATGGCGTCACGGCCCCGGCTTTGTTCCTTCAACAAATATTTACTGAGCATCTTCTAGAAACCCCGCCCTGTGCTAGATGCTGGGAGCACAGCAGCCCAGGTCCCCACCCTAGGGAGTGCTGACAGATCGGAACCACCTGTCTAGATGAATCTGCCTCAGTGCTGTGAGTTTGACCAGTAGAAGGACAAGGGCAGGGGTGAACATGTGGCCTTGGACAGGTCTGTCTGCTGCAGCCTCTGACGGCTGACAGCTGAGACCTGAGTGGAAGGAGCCCAGCGTGGGAAGCCTGGAGGAGGGGTTCCGGGCAGAGGGAGCAGCAGGTGCAAAGGCGTTGAGACCGGAGGGGATTAAAGGAGCTTTCATGGGTGACCTGAGAGGAAATGGCCCAAGAGGGTCGGGGAGCCCTGGAAGGAAGTCTGGGAGGGATTCTCAGTGCACTGGGGAATCGTTGGTGGGTTTAAGCAGTTGGCCAACAGGATCCGGTTATGTTTTTAAAAAAACTCACTCTGCCGGCTGTGCGGAAGACAAACTGACGGACGGAAGAGGAGGGAGGCGGGGAGGCCAGTTAGGAGGCGGGATGGTGAGGGTCAGAACCCTAGTGCCCACACGACCAATGCTGTCCAAAGACCTTCTCGGGCAGATATGCCACCAGCTCCTTCCAGAAGCCCTGGGATGAGTAATGCAGGTATTACCCATTTCAGTGAGCAGGGGAGGCCTGGGTAGGGATGCTTTGTGCCCAGGACCCCCTGGCCCGCCCGTGGGGAAGCAGAGGCTGGAGGCCAGGACGGGTGAGCTGGTCCTGGGCTGTCTTCACTGCACGGCAGCTCCTTCCGCTGACATGGGGTTCCCTCCTCGTGGATTAAATACAAGCCTTTTGTCCTGCGCCCCCTTGAGCATCCTTTCCAGCCTGCTGCTTCCCATCCTGTTAATTTGCTTAGAGGGCTGGACTGTGGGGTCAGTTCTTAAGCATTGTCCTCTTTGGGGCCAAGCCACGACTCCAGGGAAACCTTTTTCCTCCCCTGGCTCCCGAGGGTCTGGCCTCTCTGTCCACTCATCCAGACCGCTCTCTGTCAGTGTCCCAGGCCGGATGTGAGCCCCCGGGAGCCTGGACGCTTCCGGCAGCAGGACAAAGTGTTCTGACCCATGTCCCTCTTGCTTCGGGGAGGCAGGAAAGACCCCCTGAGCTCGCCTCCCTCCTTCAAAGACTGTGGGCTGGGGCTGCGTCCCGGAGCTGGAGCGGAAGCAGGGTCCAGATTAGCCTCGGCTCGGTGGGGGGGCAGCACCGGACAGTGAGAACAGCCCGGTCAGCTCCCCTGAAGCCAGCTCCGTGCTTCCTTCCCTTCCTCTCTGTCCTCCCCACCAGAGTCCCCCCACCCCCACGGCCCCCAGGCTTTCAGGGTCGTTCCAGGCTTCTCCAGCCAAGAAAGCATCTCTTCCACATGGTTTGACCGTCCCTATTTCAGGCTGCTTCTGACAGCACGGTCTCTCCGTGACGAGCCCTGGGGCCCCAGGGACCGGAGAAGGGCCACACCGTGGCTGTTCTGGTATCTTCTTATTCACCAGTCGCCTCATACTCTGAGGCCCCGGTGGGCGCCGCTTTCCCCACCAGGGAGGGTGAAAGACGAGCCCCACAGAGCCAGGATCTCCCCTGACCCCACAGTGGCCCTGGAGATTTAGGGCCACTTAGCAGGAAGAAAGGGAGTACGCTAACTCTAGGGAAAAGACAGTTCTCTTCCCTCCCCATCCGTGGACTCTGGAATTGGAAATAGAGGGGTAGCAGCATCGTGGGGGAGGGGAGGGGCACAGATGACCTCTGAGGACCCCCTGCCCTCTCTCTTCCTGGGGCCCAGACCCAAGAGCTCCTGCTGGTTTCTGGAAGCCACCCAGGGCTTTGAATGTCTGTGGGAGACCAAGACAAACCCTCTCCTGTCCCCCTGCAGCTCCCAGTGCTCCCAGCTCGGTCAAATTCAGTGAGCTGACAACAACCTCGGTGAACGTGTCCTGGGAGGCCCCGCAGTTCCCCAACGGTGTCCTGGAGGGTTACCGGCTGGTGTATGAGCCCTGCACCCCAGTGGACGGTGAGTGGGGCCCTCCCAGCCTGACTCCCAAGGCCTTTCTCTTGTCGGGGTCACTGCACAGCCTTGGATGGGGTGAGCGTCTCCCCTGCTCGTAAAGGGAGACTCAGGGGCAGACGAGAGGATCATTTCCCCAGCAGCAAACAGGGGCGCAAAACCGAGCAGCACCCTAGTTCTCCCGAGTACGGCCAGAGCGAGGAGGGGAGGAAGGGAGCCTACGGGGGCTGCGGCATCCCACGGTGGCCAGGCTGCCATCCCGCCTGGGAAGATCGGGGAGCCCCTGATGGCCCCTCCCGTGCCTGTCCCCCAGAATTTAGAGGGTCGGCCTTATTCCGTCTAGGTCTTTGCCTCTTGTGGGGTCAGGAGCTCGTTTGAGAATCTGTTAAGAGCCTTGGAGCCTCTCCCTGGAAAGTACAAGTCTGGGGGTGTCACTGCCCCCCTTTCCCCGTGAACCTCCATTCAAGAACCCCGATGTGCAAGTTGCCTTCCTCTCGCCTGGAGCCCTGTTCGTCTGGCTGTCCTTAGAGCCCCCAGTGACCCCTGCCCCACCCCTTCCTCCACGCCCCGGTGGGGACCCTTCCCTGCTGCCAGGCTCCCAGGCCAGGCCACGCTAACCCTGACCTTGGGTGTCAGACCCTTGCCAGCTCCCTACCCCCACGCCAATGTGAGTGAATCCAGAAAGCATGGCCATCTACTTAGAGGGGCTCCTGGCTGGCCTGTCCGGTTCCAGAGCCCAGAGAGGACTCGGGGGTGTGGCTGGCTCACAGGTGGTGGCCTGATGGCCTGAGGTCACCTGCTCACTCTCACCTTTCCCTGACTACAGAGCTTGGCCAGAAGGAGGGCCAGAGCCCTTGAAGAGCCACGGGGGCCGCAGTCCTGAGCCGGGCAAGGAAACAATGGCCCTCAGTCTTCACCGTCACCTGGCTGCCAGCAGCTAGGTCATACGGCAGAGCAGCACTGTGTTCTGGGACACTGGCGGGGGTGGGGAGGGCGGGCCAGGAGACATGGTCAGGTGTAGGCCCCAGGAGAGGGGCCGTCTCCCCCTCGGAGAGGAAGGAGAGGGCGGAGGTCACGGGGACAAGGTGCAGGCGACCAAACAGGCTCTCCTCACGGTGGCCTCCGCCTGGCCTACCCAGGGGGCTCCTGGCCCCTTTCCTGTTGGGAAGACCGCAGCCCAGACCCATGTGGGATTTGCTCAGAAATGTCAGGGAACGGGTACCCAGTGCCGCTGTTCTGGGCGCCCCGCGGGTGACTTCCTTCAGAAGGGCCGCTCGAGCTGCCATCATTCTGTCAGCAGATGCCTGTTTATTCGTAACATAGTCTGGCCATTTGCCAGGTCCTCTTTTATTTAACCTCCTAATGTGCTGTCCTCAATGCTGTCGATGCCCTCATTCAGCGGGACAACAAACCACAGCTAGGGCAGGGGACGGCCAGCGCTGGGCTCTGACCTGCGAAGCCCATATCCCAGGGGTCACCACCTTGCTCAGGGGGAACATGGAGAGCAGCCCGGGTCCCGACCCCTGGGGAGGCTGCCGGGCGGGAGGATTTGGGCCCAGGAAGCACGGAGCACAAACCTTGACCCCCTAAAATCATCGCAGCCTCCCCTCTGGTTGTCGTGATTTCGGGTGCATTGATGGAGGGCCCACGGGGAGGGCCCTTGCTGGTGGACCCGAGGCTGTCGGCTGTAGGGCCTGGCTGCGGGTTCTCCCCTCCAACTCTGGACTCAGGTGATGTCTCTCCCAGAGCCCTTCCTGAAAGGGGACCCTTGGGAGTCCAGTTCTGTGGAATTCGGAGGGTAGAGTACATGTGGGGGACAGTGGTTCAGTGAGACCGGTAGGGAGCTGTTTCCCACCAGATCCCGAAGGACACTGTGTACTCCACGGACAGACAGTCCCAGCTCCTCCCAACTTCTCCAGCCGTGGACCCCTTTCTCCCAAGACTGGCCTGCAGGACTGCGTGTTGGGGGAGCACGGCCGTGTGGCCTGGCTCCAAGGCCCCCCCATGGCCACCACCTGCCCTCGCGGTCCCCCACATATGCGGTACTTCTTTCCCAGGTGTCAGCAAGATCGTGACAGTGGATGTGAAGGGTAACAGCCCTCTATGGCTGAAGGTGAAGGACCTGGCGGAGGGGATGACCTACAGGTTCCGCATCAGAGCCAAGACCTTCGCCTACGGGCCGGAGATCGAGGCCAACGTCACCACCGGCCCAGGAGAGGGTAAGGGAGCACAGGGCAGACGGGGACTGCTGCCCTTCGCACCCCGCGTTCAGCCCCCAAGTCAGAGGGGTGTTCGGAGCTGTGCTAGATCCTGGAGGTGCGGAGATGCAGTGGGACGGGGTCTAGTGGGGACAGAGCCACAGCCCGAGAGAGTACAAGGGTGGGGCCTGGGGGGCGGGGGAGGAAGGGAGAGCATCCAGGCCACAGGCAGGGGGACCTGTCAGGCTGTGTCCTCCCTAGACAGGTGACAGAGGGAAGAAGGAGCAGGGCACTTAGAGGCCAGGCTGTGCACTGGGCCTGAGTGGGGACAGGAGGGGGACGCCAGGGACCAGGACCCCAGAGTGGTTCTGTCTGAGTTTGTGACACTTCTTGAGGCCAGCCTTGAGCTGGGGGAATTATTTTGGCACCTGCTGTGGTCAAAATTTGTTGTCCAAAGTCCTTGTCACCCAAGCAGGATGTCCCTTCCTGAACACAGAAGCCACGGCCCAGCCTCTGCTCCCTCCTTCCCTGAGAAAGGACACAGCCCATCTCAGACTTTCCCTGAAGCCCCTCCTCCTCTTCCTCCTCCTCCCTCTTTTCTCTCCTGCTGCTCACTGCCCTGTGGGCCCGAGCAGTTTAGCTGCTTAGCTGGGAGGGGGGGGGGCAGTGCAGCGCAGAGAGGCTGCTGGTCCTAGCCTCTCACCTGTCAAGCAGATGTGTTCCTCCACACTGGGCTGGGCCGGCCACCCTGCACTTTCTCCTCTTGGGCGCTTTCTGTTCCCCACCCTGGGTTCTGCAGAGAACCCACCAGCTCCTAGGCTCCTACAGAACAAAGCCTACAGGGCCCCCGGAGGAATCCAGAAGATTCCACGCCGTCTGCCCTGCACCTGCCCCCTCCCTCCTGTGCCGCCTCTTCACCTGAGCCAAATTCCCTGGGAAACAAAAGCTGGAAGCAAGCGGGCAGGGACAAAGGGAGGCGGGGCAGTGGGGACAGGAGAAGGCTGGAGGACAGGCTGTTCTAACCTGGGGCTTGAAGTGTCCCAGGCCTGGTGTGGGAAGGGGGCGGGCAGGAAGTTCAGAGGAGGCAGTGGGGCTCCCTCTGAAACAGCTGAGCTGCGCCCGGCGAGTGTGGGCGAGCAAAGGACATGGCATCACACGTCCTCTTCTCTCCAGGCCAGGTGTCTGGGAGTGCTAGAAGCTTTGGGTCCAGGGGTCAATGACAGCTGTCAGCCTTGAGTTCTGTCCTGTGCAGAGTGAGAACTCGGGGTCCCGACAGCACTCTCCCCACCCGTCACACCCCACTTGAGCTGTGTCCCACACCCCTGACCCCTCAGCCGCCTTTGTTCTGAGCTGTAGGCGGGATGCACGTTGGGGAAGGAAGGAAGGAAGATGAGGCTCTCCAAGGTCACGGGTCGGGACTGGACACGGGCCGGGCGGTGGGCAGCGCAGCTCTGGTCGTGAGTCCCCGGCCTGCTGTCCAGCTTGCCAGCTGCCCTGGGCCTGGAGGATCTTCGGTCCGGAGCTGGATTGCAGGCTCCTTGCCCCGAGGCATCCACAGCCGACACTCGGCGCTCACTCGGGCCAGCGGTCACCCCCGCACCCACTCACCGACTTGTTCCCCCCCTCCCACAAGTGTGTAGGGAGCACCCACTCTGTGCCCAGCTTTGGGGGTGCAAGGCTCCGGGTCTAGTGATGGACAGACACGTAGACCACGCACAGGGTCAGGGCTTGGGGGCCAGTGAGAGCCCAGGGGACAGGCACCCCCAGAGAGGAGGGGCTTGGGACCCTCCATAGACGAAACTGGCTCACTCCTCCGACTTCGCAAGTGAGCTCTCCCCTGCTTCGGCTCCTGGGGCTGGTGTCCAGGTGGCTGACGTGACGGGCTGCCATGCTGGTGCACCCACCAGGACAGCCAGCGGCAGAGCCCACGCTTTCCTCCCATGCTCCCAGCCTCCTCCCTGGCCCAGCGGGGGTGGGTGCGTTTCAGGCAGGAAGCAGGGAGGACGCTGCCATCCTAGGCTGGAAGACAAATGTCAGGGAGCCCTTCGGCCCCTCAAAAACCGACCCCCCACTTATCCTAGGTCCATTCCACCATCATCACACCCACCTCTACCATCGCCCCAGGACACATCTCTTCAAGCCTTACAGTCCAAAAGGGCCTCACAGATGGGGGAAACTGAGGCACTGGCAAGTGATGTGACTTGATCAGAGTCACCCATCTAGTGAGTTCAGGTATCCTGACTCCGTTCCAGGGACCTTTCTGGCATTCCCTGTATACCTCTTCTGGCTTTGAATTTGGAACGAGGGGGTGTGGATGACCCAAAGAGCACAGCTGCATCAGCAGGACAGGCCTGAGACCCAGTCCTCGGGCCTCGGCGCTCACAGGGTTTCCGGAGACTCTGGCCAGGCTCGGAGGGTTTGGCTGTGCAGAGCCCCCAGCCAGAGCACGGGGAGCTGGGATGGGGGAGGCCGTGCCACCCCTTGCCCACCGTGTGCCGTTCACAGGTGCCCCTGGACCACCTGGAGTGCCCATCATCGTGCGGTACAGCTCTGCCATCGCCATCCACTGGTCCAGCGGAGACCCGGGCAAGGGACCCATCACCCGCTATGTCATAGAGGCCAGGCCATCAGGTACGCACTGCCCTGGGCCAAGTGCCTCCCTTTCTAGCGGGTTCCGGGTCTCATGTTCTCCTGCCGCTGGAGTCCCTCCACCCAGCGGCCTTGTGTCCTCCTGAGAAGGCTCTGGTCCCACTGCAGGTGAAGCTAGAGGTGCCCTGGGGCAAGTGGGAAATGGAGGGTCACACCCTTAGGTGGGGACTCCCCAGGGTCCCCTGGACAATGGCACTTCGCACCAGGTGAGGACCAACTGGAACAGAAGATCATTCAAGATACTGGAGGAGCAAAGAGTTGGCCCCTCGCCCCTGCCCCCGGTTAAACACGGAGTCTTTCACGAGACCCCACTGACCAATGTCCCATCAGGAGGCCGGCTGTCCCCCGAGGACGCTGGCTGTCCCCCGAGGACGCTGGCTACCGCCTTGAGGTCCGCCTCCACCACTCTGATGATCTCAGCAGTTCCGGTAACTGCATCAGGGGTGGTGAAGCCTGAAATCGAATCACAAGTACTTCCAGAGCCATCAGGGACGGATGAGTCACTCCAGGGGGCTGCTGTCAGCACTCCTGTGTCACCATCGCCCGTCGCCGTGACACCTGCTTCTCCCGGCTCCCCTTCCCCGCAGGAGCCCTGGGCCAGCTCGCTCCGTTGCTAGGTTTCCCAGCTCGTCAGAGGTGCCAGGGCCGGGGGAGAGCTGGAGGCTTGTTCTTGGTAATCCATGGCCCCGTGATCGGCCGGCAGAAGTGGAGAAGGGCCGACAGCACGAATAGCAAATAATAATCAGAATGAGAGGTAGTCAGGCGTATCAGTAGCTAATACTTCTGAGGAGAGCACCGAAGCATCCCGAAGGCAAGCTGAATACCGTGGGTCACTGAGCGCCAATATCTCAACAGCCAAGAGATCACGCCTGCCGTTCTGGGAAGCAGCCACCCCGCCCCCCCCCATTGCCCTCATTTTGTGCTGGTAATGGCAGTGGCAATCGCTATTACGTTTAGCAACTCTGATCCATGATCCGTTGTAGCTGGAAGGTGTCTGCAGGGCTGGCTGTCCCCCCACCCCCGATGGTCCCTCCCCAGCCCCCGGTGCCGGCTGCTGAGTGGGCCAGGAGAGCACCGCGTGCTTCTCCCCACCCGCGCCCGTGCCTCTGCTCTCCGTCCAAGTTGACCGGCCGGGATGCCAGGCTGTGGAATGTTGGCTCCGGACTCTGGGCCTGCTGATTTTCCAGCGTTCCCTGGGAGGCCCAGCATGGGACCTGGGGCTGTGCCTTGGTGCACACAGGTGGATTCAAGGAGGGACCCCCTGAAGGCTGTGAGGGCGGAGGGCAAGGGGAAAGCTGGGCCTCTCCCTGTGGCTGCTGGAGATATCTCCCCACCTCCTTGCCCCCGGGCTATCCATCCTCCTCCTCTCCTGGATGAAACTGCTCTTGTCCTGTGCTCCCCGCATCATGGTCGGTTAGGATCGCCAAACAGGACCTCTTCCTACAAACTGGAAGCTGCCAGGCACTGCAGAGCAAGGAGAGAGGGGCTCACTCAAGGTTTCCAGCCCAGGGGCCTTGCCGTGCATACCAGCTGACCGCTGGGGCTGGAGGCCGGAGCCCCAGCATGACATTCCAGCAGCTTCAGGCCTGGCCCCGTTACCAGAGTCCCACCCTTTGTTTCTGTGCGGGGCAGAGCAAGGTTGGTCACACAGTAGGTCAGAGACCCCAGCTTCCGCCAGGCCGCAGGGTCCTGGACGAGCCCGCCCAGCCAACACTGAATCCGCCGCGGACCTCAAAAGGCACCTTCCTGGACACCCAGCAGTTCCTCCTTCTCCCCGCCATCACCGTGGGTGTGAGAGGTAAAGCCCTTAGAACCACAGCTCTCGGCAAGGAAGGAGTCACTGCTGTTGGGTCATCGCTAGCATCTCTGTCACTGTGACTGTCACCGAAAGCGAATGAGAGCTTTCAGGGGGCATGAGAGGAGAATGGATTTGCACCCCAAAACTCGGATCTCAGGGTCTGCAGCACTGAAATCGCAGCCCGTGATGTTCAGAGAAGGTCGGGGTAGAAGGTTTGCCTCCAGTCATCCCCCCGACACTGAGAGGTCGCCCGTGCTGGGCGCTAGGCTCCAGAGGTGAATGGGACACAGTCCTGGCCCTGGAGGGACAGCACAGCCTAGCCGGGGACAGCCACAGGGTGCGTGAGGCAGCACCCAAAACAGAGACATGAGAGAGAGAACGAGGCCAGGCTCAGGATCCTGAGCCTTTGTGAGGACAGGAGGAGGCCCATGGGTCCCACGGCTGCCAGGGGGAGGGATCTGGATGGGCAGGGCCAAAAGGCGTCTTTGGAAGATGCCGACACACTCTTGGTCCCCAGTGCAGAGGTGACAAGGCGGGGGATGGTGCTAAAGTTCCTGACGTTGCGGAGGAGTGGCTGAGGAGAGACGGTGCCGGCCGAGGCTGAGGCTGAGGCTGAGGCTGAGGCTGAGGCTGAGGCTGAGGCTGAGGCAGGAGCTCGTCCAGGGCCCTGAAGCAACCTCCCTGGAGGACCTAGTTGCTCAGCCCACTGAGGTGCTTTTAAGCTCTCTGGTCCCCTGGACCCTGTGAAAAGGGTGGTTTAACCCTTTAGTTGCCAAATCAGCCCTTCCCTGGCACAGGGAGGAGGACTCACCGTCCTTCCCAGGGTCACGCCAGCCCCACTTGCCCCGTGTGGAGCCTCTGCCTGGGCCCCGCCCCCCCCCCCCCCCCCGGCCTCCGCATCCCGGGGCCTGGCAGGAGCTCGCACTTCTCTCGTGCGGGGCACCATGCCCGCTGCTCCGTTTGAATGAGGCGGAAATGAATTAGGTCCCCGGTGGGAGGGGGGCGAGACCCAGAGAGTGGTGGTCAAGGGGGGCAGCAGGACTGGAAGGGAAGTCAGGAGCGCAAAGGATGGGGGTGGCTAGGGGCAGCGCGCCTGGAGGACAGATGGGGGACCCCTCTAGGCTTGTCTGGGCCCCTTCTCCTCAGATCTCTGCTGCTCAGCGAGGAGACCGCTGAGGGTGGGCGCCATCGGCCCTCACCCTCCCCAGTGAGCTCAGCCCTCCTGCGGCTACGTTCAAAAAGGGTCTTTTTTTACCTGATGCCACTACTGTGTGTATTTTGAATAGGCAGGGGGATGAGAAAAAGAGGGGCCCAGTGAGGGAAAGGAGGGTGTACCCGTGTGCCACAATCATAGGCGGCCTGGTGGAGTCACACTGACCCGCACTTTTTAAGGATGTGAGAACAGGCGATCTGACTTCTGCACAGTCACCAGAATGCTAAGCCGCCTGTGGCTGGTGACATGGGGTTGGTTGGGGCCATATTTGCTACATACTACATGTTTTATTTAATATTTTACAAGCATTTTAGTAAAGGGAACAAAGAGAGACTCCAAAAAGGCATCTGTTGAAAAATGCCTTCTAAGATTCAGTGTTGCCGGGGCAGACCGGGCAGGCCCTGCTCTCAGGGGCAACAGGTGGGATGGGAGGGGCTCCCCATCACAAGGTGTCTCCCTCTCGACCCTCTTGCAGACGAGGGGCTATGGGACATCCTCATCAAAGACATCCCCAAGGAGGTGACCTCCTACACGTTCAGCATGGACATCCTGAAGCCAGGCGTGAGCTACGACTTCCGGGTCATCGCCGTTAATGACTACGGCTTCGGTACCCCCAGCAGCCCCTCCCAGTCTGTGCCAGGTACTGCCGGTGGGGGGGACGGCACCCCGTTGAAGAGCCTCGTGGCAGAGGCTAGTGGTGGGCAAAGAAGAGAAGCAGGCAGCATAGCCCCAGATGTGTTGGGGTGGGGACCAAAATGTATTGTCCTCTCAATTCTGCCAACAGTGAACTCTGGGCCAGGGCCTGGGTCAGCTTTGAGCTCCAGAAGAAGGGGGGTATGCATCTTTGGGGTTCCTTTGCAAGGATCCCAGAAGCCCTGGGCAGGGGGCTTAGTGGGGCTTGTGGATGAGTCAGTGAGTCCAAGACAAGACCTTCTATGAGCTCATCACCCAAGAGATTCACCCAGGCCATAAACTACATGTTTCTATGGAAACCACCCCAAAAAACAGAGTCAGCAGTCTATGAAGCAGTGTCCAGGGCTGAAGGTAATAGGTCTGCCATCCCTCCCCATTTTCCTCTCATCCTTCCCATCCGGCATGTCTTGGAGGAGTCGCAGAGGACTTTAATGCCAAATCCAGTAACCCCAAATCCAGTCACTAACCAACTTTTAATACCAACGCCCCTTCTCTCGAGGCAGAAACACAGCTCAAAATTGTAACCCACTGGGTGAGTGTCGGAAACCTGGCTGCCTCCGTCCTCCCACACACATTCTCCCTTGACCCGATGGATAAAACCAGATCGCGGGAGACAGAAGAGCCAGCCCCTCGTCGGGCAGCCCCCTGGAGTAGTAGTGGTTATGTGCAAAAAGTGTGGTACTGAGGGCTTTGAAGGGAGGGGAGGTCTGCCTGGAGGAAGCATTCTGAAGACCCGCTCACGTCCACCCTCCTGACTGCCCTCATTCTCAGCTACTGGAGAAAGATGGAAGTCCTGACCCTGGGAGCAACTCTCCCAGGCCTACCACAGGCCAGATGGGTACTTTTCCAATACAAGTCTGGGGCCTGCCTGTCCAGGTAGCCCCTAGGCCATGGGTGGCAAGAGGGGGGAGAAAGAAAAAAAAAAAATAGCACACACACCGGGACTTCTCAGTACTGTGTCTTTGGCAGACATCATTAATCAATCCCCGCAGTCTTTCCTGGTAAGTCCAGAGGCAGCCTCAGAGCTCAGAGCAGCCCTCCAGGCATCCCCTTACAGGCACTTGAGATTCAGCTCTCCCGGCCAACCTTGTCTTGGGTTGTGCCTCACTGGGACGGCACAGAACTTGCCTGGGGTCTGTGGTAGGGGCCCAGCTGCAGCGGGAGGCGTGGAGGCGGGAGGCAGCCTAGCACCTGGGACCTGACGTCCCCGTTCGTGTTCCAGCCCAGAAGGCCAACCCTTTCTACGAGGAGTGGTGGTTCTTGGTGGTCATTGCCCTCGTGGGCCTCATCTTCATCCTCCTCCTGGTCTTCGTGCTCATTATCCGAGGCCAGAGCAAGAAGTACGCCAAGAAGACAGACTCTGGTGAGCTGAGACCAAGCCCCGCCGGCCAGATAGGTCTGCCTCTGTTTTGGCAAGGTGGGGCCGGGGGTCCTCTCTCTCCTAGGAAGGCGTCTGCCCTGCGAGGAGGAGCAGCCTAGGGCCCCTGTGTACAGCCTCCATCTCCCATTTGGTCTCACCTGTAGCGAGAGAGAGAATGAGCCACCTGGCCGGATGGGGGAAGTGAGGCCAGCAGTCTAAAGGGGTGACATAGGTGACTGGATCCTGTCTCCCCCACCCAGGGAACAATGCCAAGTCTGGTGCCCTCGGCCACGGGGAGATGATGAGCTTGGATGAAAGCAGTTTCCCTGCTCTGGAACTCAACAACCGGAGGCTGTCCGTCAAGAATTCCTTCTGCCGGAAGAACGGCCTGTATACCAGGTAGAGGGCTCTCTGCACGGGTGGGGGGCAGAGGCCAGAGGTTTGGGGGCCAGCAGGGCCTAGGGTATGGAGGACTCTGGGGAGGGCCACAGAGCAGGCTGTGCCCACTTGGTCTCACTGTCCCAATGATGGCATTTGGGCTCAGGGGCTGGGGACAATCAACAGGGCCCAAGCAACACAACCAGGCTATGGGGGCCCCAGGCCGGTGTGAGAACACGGTGGGGGAAGTTACAAGGAGGTGGGGACACAGGGCTTCTGACAAGGACAGCCAAGTGCAAAGAACTTGTACAATTTTGCGACCCAACCTACTGCCTTTGGAGCCAGCTGCTTGGAGGAACAGTCCCGAGGCCAGGAGAGCCACCGGCCCCAGCAGTGAGGCGGGCCCCACAAACGTAGGCTAGGCAAACACACTCGAGTGACGAGTGCCTGGAGTCCCCCCATCATGGCCTATGCCTTACCTGCATCCTCCCTGTTCTGGAAAGAAAGGGCACTCAGAGTATGGACACCCTCTCCCCCGGGCCCTTACGCACGCGTCTTATGGACCCGTGTTCTCCTGTTCACCCCACGAGCCCGTGCTCCCAGCATCATCCTCAAAGGGCAGCACCTGGGAAGAGCCAGTCAGGAAAGGTCCCAGCTGGCGGTACCCTCGGTTCCGTTTCTTCCTGACTTCTCTCCAACCCTGGGTCCCCTCCCCTACGCCACTCCCCGGCACGGGCTGGGGGGCCCATTTCCAAGGGCCGGGGCAGCTGCTGAGGCCCACCTGACCCTCCCCTGATGGGACCTGGCAGTTTTATGCTCCAGGGAGCTCAGGAGAGCTGCGGGGGGAGGCCGGTCTGCAGCCTGGGAGAGCCTGTCCTTTTGGCCTCAGCCCTATTAACATTCCCAGTTCATCGGAGGGGCACGCGGGCCAGGCACAGCTCACAAAGCTTCTCTCTGTCTCGTCCTGGAGGGAAGAGGCGATGTGTGTGTTCATCAGGAGGACAGAGGGAGGGGCGCACAGGCCAGCAGGCCCCGCTCTCATCCCCCGCCAAAGCCAGCTTTCCAAAGAAAGAGCCATTTGAGGCCGCGGTGGTGGGCCCAGCAGGTCCGCCGCAGCCCCGCCACGCTGGCTCCGGGGCCCTGCCACATGGAACAAGGGGGCGTTTCACGGATGGCCTGGCCTCGCCTGCCTCTCACGCCCCCAGAGTACACACACCAGGGCCCCCGCGTGTCCCCTACCCTGCTGTGTACACACAGAAATCCTCTTGCCGCCAAACCAGCCCCGGGCTCCTGGAGTCTGACCAAGCCCTGGTGACACCGTCAGCCCCCTACTCGCCCTGCTCGTGGCCAAGACGGCCTGAGCCTGACACCCCTTCTCCCCTGTCCCAGCGTCACGTGTCTGCCCATCTCGCCTACCTGAGGCTGCTGCCGCTATTGTTATGGTTTTATTTTTAAGGAGTTAAGGATGCGGCTTTGTTATTTGGAATCATATCAGTGCAGATAGAGTCCGAGAGGTTGGAGGTGGCGGGGAGGCTGCTTGTGACATACTCCCAGGCCGTGGGATTGGTCCCAGGACAACATTTCTGTAGGAAGGCACAGCTGACCCCGGGTGGGGGCAGCCGGCGTTCAGGGCCGTGGTTCCAGAGCCCTTCCTAGAGCAGGCTGGGCAGACCTCAGGATGCCAGGCCCTCGGCAGGGCCTCCCTTGAGCCCAGTCCCCAGGAAGCACGGATAGGGCACGGTCATGAAAGACCCTAGCCATCTGCTGGGCACCCCAGGAGCCTGCCCAGCCCACTGCCCTCGCCCTCAGCTCAGGGGTTCTGGAAAGCACAGCCCTGCCTCCAGCCTCCAGGCACCCGTGGCAGGTGGAGTGCTCAGGTGCCCTGTCCTGCGTGTTTGCGCAGATGACACAGAGTCAGGTCTCTAACTCACTGGGAAATGCACTTTCTCGAAGGCTGATTTTCAGAGGTAGGGCAAGACTCCGTGCCGGAATTTATGTCTGGTCTCTGAGCAGATCTGGAGGGAGGAGGCAGCGGTTTCGTTTCTTCTCTTAACCCTTTGCATTAACCGTCTAAAGCTCCCTTGGTGAGGTCAAGAATGACCTGGGGGAGGGTTTGCCTGTCGCGCCAGCACGCAGGCCTCACCTGGGATTCTGACCTGGGAGGTCTCCGGGCTCGAAAAGGCTTTGTAACATTCCTGCCAAGTAATCCCAGTGCCTGAGGCCTTATAACCACGAGTGGAGAATCCAGTGGGAAGTGGGGTGCTACCCCTCCGTTTCCCTGAAGCTGATTCAGGAGGTTGGTCCAACGGAGCCTCTCCCACCCTTGGGGTCCCCCAGCCCAAGGCCCAGGCCTATGGGAAACAGACAGAGGAGGAGCATATGACAGAGACACCGAGGGTCAGTGCCCTACCAGGCCCCGCTGTGGCCTCCCTGGCCAGGCCAGCCGCTGTGAGTAGGGCCACCTCTCAGCCTCACCCCCACTCCCTCCAGGTCACCTCCCCGGCCCAGCCCAGGCAGCCTCCACTACTCTGACGAGGACGTCACCAAGTACAATGACCTCATCCCGGCAGAGAGCAGCAGCCTGACTGAGAAGCCCTCAGAAATCTCCGACTCTCAGGTGAGGGGCGGGAGCGGGGACCAGCCCCTTCTCAGATCTCGGGCCTGTGTGATGGCCCAGAACCTGGGCTTCTTCGCTCCTGCCCTTTATGGAGCCCCAGAAAACTAGCTGGGAATCATCTGTGGACCCGCCGTCCCCTCCAAAGCTCTGCTCAGAGTTTGCTCCATGGCTAATGGGGGCCTGTAACCTTGACCAGAGAAGAGCCCCCAAGAGCCCAGTCCTCTAGAGCGTCTGGAGTGTCCCCACGTGCTCTGGCCTGCAGAAGAGCTCGTGAGGACGAGGAGAAGGAGGCCCGTATTGCCAGGGCTGAGCTTAGCTCGTCCGGGTCCGAGCGAGCTCCCGAAACTGCGAGCTGTAAGTTCTGGAGCCCCAAGGATGGAGGGGCGAGGACTTCAGCTTCGGAGGCTCAAGCCCGAGTTTGAATCCCGGCTCTGCTGCCTGTGGGCCAGGGCATCCGGGGTGGGGCACACGACCCCTTTGAGCCTGTTTCTCCGTCTGTGGAACAGGCAGGGACAGTAAGAGGCTGTATCATGGGGCAGTGGGATTGCTGAGACGAGGCCCAGAGAAGCTTAGCAAGCACACACAGCCGCTGTCTGATGAATGTCAACTTCCATCTGAAGAAGGAGATGGTGCCTTGGGGAGACACACAGCTCTGGAGAGGCTGCCATTAAGTGGGCCGCACGGGGACACTGTCCCAGACGATGGCGAGAGGGGGTGAGTGCATTCCAGTGAAGCAAGGTCACGGCCTCCCACCCAGCCATCTTGGCCTTGGCCAAGCCCAGTGGTTGCCCACCGCGTCCCACGCCCTAGACCTTTTCTGCCCAGTCCTGGGAGAGGACAGGAGCAAAAGGCTGTCAGCCCTGGGGAGGTGCCCCATCCCCAGGATCCAGTCGTGGGCCCGGGGCCTCTGGCTCACTACTGTTTAGTTCAGCTCCAGGGCTTGGCAGGGCCCACAAGGCTGGAGCTAACAACAGCACAGCTCAGACAGAGCTGGCAGGGACAGAGACGCCAACTTAGCCTGGCTAACGCAGGAACTCACATGACTCAGGTTATGGCTTCTTATTTTAAGTGTTTAACCCTTTGCGGCCATATACATCCCGGGATTTCCAAGGCCCTGTGCTCCACGGAAGCAAGATTGTTCTTTCTTTCTCCCCAAGGAAGGCAGTGAGCGTTTAGGTTCTAGGCACTCAAGGGAAGGTTCAAGTAAAGGGACTCCCTCTGCCCATGAGGCTATGACAGAGGGCTCCTTAACGCCGTGCACCTGTCTATGGAGAGCAAAGGCAGGGACCAGCGGAAGGGACAGCCCGGGCTGCTCTGATTAGCCCCCTTCGAACTCCCACAGAGGGCCTTGGTCCTGCGCACTCATTGGCTGGGCACTGACCTTTCCGGGAGGGAGGTCCTGCCCAGGTATCTCCAGATGGCCCATGGCCATCTCCACATAAGTCAGGATGCAGAGCTGGTCCCTGAGGCCAGGCCAGGACCCCCAGCCTTGAGGGAGTCATGGAAAGATTCAGATGAATCCTTATCTGAAGACCATCTCACTTCAGTCGCCCCCAAGACCCAGCAGAGTCCCTGGAATTCTCCGCTTTGCCCCTAGTGTCTTTTGTTTGAAACAAGCCCATCTCTTGAATGCAGTTTCCATAACAATCTGGAACCAGTCCCCTACGGGGAGGGGAGCAGGAGCACATGCCCTGGGGGAGGGGCGGCCTCCTGGTTCCAGAAGCCAGTTGTCACAGCAGAACTCCCACATTCCCTTTCAGGGGGTGCAGTGGAGCCCAGCCCAGGCCCAGAGCCCCGCCTGGTTTGGGGTTTGATTTGGATTTCTTTATCTCAAGTTAAGTTAGTTTATTTCAAGCTAAGTTCCACGAAGACAGAGACTTGTGACAGTCCTGAGGTCGGTCACCTCCCCAGTGTCCGTCTTGGCACGGAGTGTGTGGTTAAAGCACAGAAGGGTCAGCCATGGGGGAAGCTAGGGAAGCTAGTCAAGACCGAGCAGGTTAGCAGGAGAGACGGACAAAGGTTCACGGTTGTCAAGCCATCCCTTTTGGACCAAGGTCAGAACACACACTTTCCAAGAGGCATGGCCCTTCAGAGTAGTGCCGCTGGGCAGGGTCACCAGCCCTGGGGGCTGTGCTTACCATCCCACAGGCCTCACCACAATCACAGTGACCCTCTGAATGGCCTTAGTGTCCTGTCATTTGTACAGATGGGGAACTGAGGCTCAGAGAGCTTCACTGAGTTGGCTCAGGCCCCAGAGCCAAGAGGTGTGGAGATGGACCCTGCCCACGGGCCCTTCTGACCCAGAGCCCAGCTTGGCTCCTTGGCTCTCCCCTGTCCCAAAGCCGGTGACGTCACCCTCACGGCAGACCTTTCTGGAAAGGCCTTCAGAACCAGCCAATGAGACACTCTCGAGAACAAGTAACTGTGGGTTTTCTTGAAAGAAAAACAAAAAACAAAACTCAAGCTCATCTTCAAAGGATAAAGACACACACCCAGAGCAAAGTGCCAGAGGCATTAAGGTTGTCCCCAAGAAAGCTGCCCCAGGAGCTTTGCCCAGCGGCTCCCTCAGGGGACCATCCAGCCCCGTCGTAGGGTGGCTCCGAGCAGGGAGACGCTCATGTGAAAAGTTGTGGCCCAGCCCCTCCCCATCCTTGACTCCGGGAAGGGGGAGGGGTCCTTCACAGCTCACCCCCACTCAGCACTACGGCACCCTGTCCAAGTGACTCTTCTTGGGGCCATGAGAGGGGATGGAGTCAGGCCCGTGTGGTGCCAGGCTCTTCATGGGGCTCTGGGGAAAGGCAGTCAGGATCCTTGGGGTCTGTTTGCTTTGGAATGGTTCTTGAAAACCAGGCCATTGGCTTTGGGCCACCTCAGGTGGCCTGGGCTCCCGGACTGGCATCCTCAGAGGTGCACGGCTCAGGGGTCGCTCAGCACTCATTCCTTGAGCATGGACTCTAGGGACATGGAGATGACGGAGACATGACCCTGCCGCCAAGGAGCTCCTGGTGGGCTGGAGGGGACAGACTCCGAGACAGAGCAGCCGGTGTCTCTCGGACGCCCTTGTTGCAGCATAAATAAGCAGACCCTAGGACTGCTCGCTGGCCCCGTGAGAGGCTGTACGGAGAGCATCCGCCACGGTGACCGCAGCTGGGGCTCATGGCACGTGCTCCACGGGCCCCCCGCATGGGATGGCGTCTGCAGGAGCGTACCCCACCAGGGTCAGCAGCCATGCAGGTGGGGTCCCCAGCCTTTTAGCGGCTCTGGAGAATGATGGCCTGACTTTGTGAAGCGCCCCTCCCCCCAGGTCCTCTGAGAGCCAGTTCTGCCCAGGCTGCCTGGTTTCCAGTCCAAGTCAGACCACCCAAAACAGACTCTCCAAAATGGGTAGAAACCCACCCAGCCCTTTTCCTGTGATATGGTAATAAACAAAGGTCCACGTTGCTTATAAACAAACACACACGATAAGATGTGAGCAAGGCCATAACGGGGCTCTGGGTAGACTGGGGGTTGGGAGGGGAGACGGGCTGTCTCCAGAGAGGTGCTGGTGACACACAAAGGCTGAGGTTTGAAGAGGCCGGGGCTTGTCTGATGCAACTTTTAAAAACCAAGTATGGCTGCATTCCAAGTTCATTTTCAAAATAAGAGCTCAAGTATGGGAGAAAAATGACATGGCGCACCAGTAAATCTCAATGGGAAAGGACTTCCCAGCCAATGGCACGCCTCTCCTAATAAGTATGCAGTCTTTGTGATTTCTTGGGAAGCCCTGGGAAGTGCTTCGTGATGAAATTAAGCCTGTGTAGAAAAGTAGGAAAATACACCAGACAGATTAGGTTTTATAAGCGTGAACATTTAGGGAGCCCTTACGGGCGGCCAGGAATGACCCTAAGGATTGTTCAAGGTTGGTACCGCTTTACCCTCGGAGCACTCGGCGAAGCCTGGTGGGGTTACCTGTTGCATGAGTCAGGGAGCCTCTGACGACGAGGCCAGGCCCCCCACCTAAGCCCCTGCACCCCTACCGTGTGCCATGCTTGGATTGGGCCCTGAGCATCACCTGTCTGGTTTTGTCCTCCCGGGAACCTGTTCATTCCTTTCTTGGTGCGTTTATTCAACAACTGTTTTTTCTGCACCCGCTAAACAGTACCAAGCACGGTTTACACACGGCGGCTCCCGTAGTGAGCAAGACAGGCTCTTAGGAGCGTTGCATTATGGTCTGTTAGGACCCATTAGGGAAGACCACATGTTTCAAATAACCCCATGTTTTCATTTCATTACTATGGCACCATAGTATCTAACTTCAGGAAGAAAATGGGGAGCAAAAGGCCTCCTGTTTCTTGTGGTGCAGAGACAGAAAGCCCTGTGAGGAATCTTGGGGGAAGGTCACAGGGGGGCTGCCTGGAGGAGGTGGCATTTCAGCTGGGCCTCCAAGTATGAACAGGACTGGGTCATGCATCAACAGGAGCAGTAAGGGTTTATAGGTTTGCATTTGGTGAAGTGTTTCTGTCATCCCCTCCCTCTGAGTGTCTGAGTTTCTGGTTTTTCATCCGTGTTTGCCTCTTGTCCTTGAGTTGGGCCATGAGTCTAAGAGATTCACTGAGGCCCGTCTCCTGCGTCTCCTCAGGCTGACCCATGCAGGCCGAGGAAGCCCGAGCTTGTGCCAAGCTAGAAACACACTACGGGCAGGGCAGAGGGAGTCCAGGTGGAAGGAGGCCAAGCTACCTTTTGGGCCGGGCACTGTACATGTTCTTATTTAAAATCTAACCATCCCCCCATGCAAGTTGCAGGACCCCCGGTTAACAGCTGGGGGAGACTGAGGCTCAGGGAAGTCCAGCAGAGTGCCCTTGATCACAGAGCTTAGAAGTGCAGGCCGTGGGCACTCGAGTCTGAGTCCAGCCACTCTGAGGGCCTCGTCTGTGCCGGCCTGGCCTCGCCCAGATGCCTGGCACAGAAGGGAGATGGAAGGAGAGAGAAGCCTTCACTGACCCCAACAACCCCCCATCCAAGTGACCTTCTGTGAAGCCTCCAGATGCAAGCGTGTCTGACAGCGGGGCGGTGGGGGAGGGACACATTGACTGTCATTTCGCCTGTATGGAAGGTCATGGGGGCCTTGTGTCTGAGCTGACACAAGATTTATTATTTATTATTTAAAGATTTATTTATTTATTTGAGAGAGAGAGCAAGAAGGGGGAGCAGAGGGAGAGAGAGAAGCAGACTTCCCACTGAGCCCGACACGGGGCTCAATCCCAGGACCCTGGGACCGTGACCTGAGCCAAAGGCAGACGCTGAACTGACCCTACCAGCCAGGTGTCCCTAAGCTGACACTTAAAAGGACATTCCTGGGGCAAGGTTTCTAGCTGTCTGAGTACAAGAAGCCCAGATCCCTAACAAAATGGTGCATAAAGGGGGCTCCTAGAGAGGGAGACGCTCAGCCCCTCCTCACTCCCACCTCTGGTGCCCAGGAGAGGCCCGCCCCCTGGCCCAAGGGGAGGGGTGTCCAAGGGGCCGACGCAGGGCTAGCCTCATCCCACACAGAGAGCCCCTGGGCCACCAACCAGGGAGGGCCTCCAGCTTCCAGCCTCCCAAGGGGCCGGTACGGGGGACCTCCTGTCATCTAAGGCAGCACATTCCTGCTAGATTTCTGGAGCCTCAGTAAGATGAGGGCACCCTATGTGGGCTCCGTGGCCTGAGTCTGGGGAAGGACACCCCCCCCCTGCCACCATGCTGGCAGCAGCAGGAGAGCAAGAGGCTCTCCTTTGCCCCCCTCTCTTTTGTTGTGGGCTCTTGTCCGGGTCCCCCTCCTGCCGGCTCCACCCCCTCCCCTGCTCCCCTGCCCAGGCCCGGTAATTGCTGAGTGAGTGGCTTTGAGGAGCTGTTAAGAGGCCCGGAGCCGGAGCAGTCGCCTGATTGCCTGGCGGCCTGGTGGGGCTGCCCGTGAAAGGTCCCCTTTGTGCTGGGCCGGTTACTGGGAAGCTGCATTCAATTACCGAGGCCCGCGTGAGAGCTGAAAGCCAGAATGGGCGCCCCGGGTCCCCCCTCGCCTGCTTTCTTCCCTTCTCACCCCACCCCCACGCAGAAAAGAAACAGATGTTCGAGGAGGTGGAGGAAGAAGAGCAGTCGCTGAGGCAGACGCCCCCCTTCTGGCTTCAGAGAGCAGGGGGTGGGGCAGGCCCACCTCTAACCCCCCCCCCCCCCACGCTCCTCCTGCTGCAGCTCTGCCTCTGGGGCTCCCAGCTCTTCCTTCCATGGCTTTTCCAGGCCCATCCGGAAAGCCACCCCACAGTGTCCAGCACACAGTAGGTGCTCAGCAGTTGGTAACCGTCAGACGGTGATGATGTGCGTGAATGGGCTTTGGGGTCTGGACCCCCTGGGAGGGCCAGAGAGGCCCATCCCCACTCTCTTGATGCTTTACTTTGGGGGCAGAGCTGACCGTCCTTCCCCTTTCCCAGCCGCCTGAACAGAGTCACCCTCCGTGACCCCAGCTCCTTCTGCGGCCCTCCTGGGGTGGGGGCTTCCAGTAGTTTTCCACCCTGTGAACTGCAGACATCTACCCATTTTACAGACAGGGATGCTGAGGCTGGTGGTGGCCAGGTGATGGGTCTGAACTTCACCTAGCTAGCCAGGGACGGAGTGGGGATTTGGCCGCACCACAGGAAGTGACCTAAATGCTCATTCACTCTGGGATGGGGCCGCGGTGATGGACTCGCCTGCAGGGCTAGCCGAAGTTCTAGAACCTTTAGCAACGATGCTAGCAACCCTTCAGGCCAGTTGGTGGAGGCCCTTCTGGAAAGACCTGACCCTAGGCAGAACTGTGGGGTGGCCCTCTCCCACGCCTCGCACTTACAGATCCTCACTGCTCCGGGACCAGCCTCCCCCCAGCCCCGGCCCCTTGCCGCATGGCTCCCATCACAGCCTGCTCAGACTTCCTCTGCCTCTGGGCCGCCCCCGTGCAGCCCCAGGCCTCAGGTGCCCAGCCCTCAGCCCCCTCCCCACTCTTGGCATATGGAGCCCCTGTTTGTAGGGCCCCTTTGTTCGCTCCTGGGCCGGCAGCTGGGCAGTAGCAAAGAGAGGGGCTCGCATTGTGCTGCTCTGCGTCAGGGGGAGAGCTAGGGACTTTCCATTGTCTCCGGCTGCCAAGAGGACTGAGGTCCTGGGAGGGTGTGCAGGGAGGTGGTAAGGAGAGCAGCCAGGACTGTGGAGGGGTGAGGCGGAGGAGGGGAGGGGCCAGACAGAAATTTGCAGATCGAGGAGGGAGTATGTAATCCCAGCTGGGAGAGTAGAAGGGCTCTTGTTCCCAACTCCCGGCAGGAAGGGGGTCGTTCAGAGCATGTGTGGGCTTTGGAAAATCCGCAGATCCAAACCCCCCAGCTCTTTGTGTCTCGGGGCGAGCTGTCACCCTCTCCACACTGGGGTTCCCAGCACTCACAGAGCGGTAGCGTCCACAGCACCGAGGTGTGAAAGTTAACAACAGTCTCCTGCCGCCTGGCAAAGTGCCTGTTCCCCCGCTGGCAGTGCTGGAGCTCAGTACCTTGGGGCTCTTTCCCAAGAGGGGCTAGATGCCCTATGGGTCTCTGGGCTCCTGGGGCAGGTGCACCTTGCACTCCCCTGTAGCTCAGACACTTTGCAGCAAGGTCACCAACTCTCTGTTCGCCCTCCCTGCCGAGCGGGACACAGCTGATCATTGCAAACGAACGTGTCTGCACTGGGCTCACTGGGTTTTCTTGCTGCGGTTTTTATCCCAAGTAGTTTGACCAAATGTACTGACTCCCGTCAATTCGGGTGGGGACGCCGTAACCAAAGTGAGGCATTTATTCGGGTGGGGACGCCGTAACCAAAGTGAGGCATTTAGAGCTGCGTTGCACTGAGAGTGTACTGCTCACTCAAATCAGAGCATGTCTCTTCCAGAGCGTTCTAAGGGTGCTCCCATCTGTCCTCTTCTTGGTTCTCAAAACAGTGCTGGGAGCTGGGCATGGGGGAGGGGCGCACAATATTTTTAGCTCGACGACTCAGATCCAAACCAACGAGCGAATGCTGCTTTACTTCACAACCCAGCCTAACTCTTGTCTCCTGCTGATTCCCCCATGGGCAGATGAAGCAACGGTGGGACACCGAAGTAGCGACAATTTTAGGAATAATTTAATATTTTGCATTTACGAGAAAAAGCCACAGGGCCACTGTCGTGTGAAATTCAGACCTTCTGTTGATATTTTTCTCATGCTTCTTTATAACTGAGTGTCGCCTTTATTCTGGGTCACGCGTGGGTGGGCACCATCATCCCCTTTCGGTGCCAGGAGCCTCCGCAGGTCTGGCCCTGGCCCCGTCCCCAGTCACACCGTAAGTCAGAGATAGACCAAGGCTGGAACTTGGTATGTCAGGCGGGAACATTCTGCTCTAAAATGTAGGTTTTGCTACGATCCGGGTATGGCCAGGCCAGTGGATCAGGGGATGACTGCCCTTGAAAAATGGAATTACTCACAGTTCTCAAGAAGAAGGGGACGCATCACACCATACAGGGCCGTTTCGGGGAAGCACCAGGGTCCCCGGGAATGGTTCCCTGTGCCCAGGAGGGACACGTAGGGAGGAGCCTTCATTGTGGGAGCAAGCTGGGGTTTATTTGCATAAATTCAGTGAGCCCTGGGGTGGAGGGGCTGTCCCTGGTTGTCTGGTACCCAGCCCTAGGGTGACGAGGGACAGGAGAGAGTGAGGCAGCGTGATAGGAAAAGGCATCACTAGCTGCAAGGATTGACCTGCCCTGGGAGCCCGTCACCACTCGGAGTCAGTGAGGCCCCAGGGGTCCGAGCATCAGAACTACAACAGATGGAAAGGCAGGATGAAGTCAGCCTCGAAAACATGCTAAGTGAAGGAAGCCAGCGCCCCACGCCCCCTTTTCTGTGGCCCTCCCTGTATGGTAGGTAGATCCACAGAAACAGCAGGTCGGTGGTCGCTCGCAGTGGGGGCGGGGGAGGGAACGGGGAACGGCCACGGGGGTGGGGGGAACGACAGAAAAAAAAAGAAAAAAAGGATTAGAACTCAGGTCTTCCGAGTTCCAGTTCGCTCCAGGTGCCCACAGGCTGTGTGCCAGCCCCACGGTGGGCGCTCCGTCCCCACGATCTGCTCCGACGGCCGGGGAGGTGGGCATCATGACCGGGCGGCGGGCCCCCTTGGTGGTGAGTGGGGGCGTGGCGGTGGCCCCCCGTCCGGGGCTTGGGAGCTTCAGACCGGGTCACCTGCCGCCTTCCAGCCTCCAAGCACGCGGACCTGGCCCCCGGGGGCCCCTGACTCCCCGATTCTCCGTCCTCCCAGGGAAGCGACAGCGAGTACGAGGCCGACCAGACCCACCAGAAGGCCCACTCTTTTGTCAACCACTACATCAGCGACCCCACGTACTACAACTCGTGGCGGCGGCAGCAGAAAGGCATCTCGCGGGCCCAGGCGTACAGCTACACGGAGAGCGACTCAGGCGAGCCGGACCACGGCCCCGGGGCCAACAGCGGCAGCGCCCCGCAGGGCAGCCTCTTCCGGCCCAAGGCCAGTCGGACCCCAACGCCCCAGAACCCCCCAAACCCCCCGAGTCAGCAGAGCACCCTCTACCGCCCCCCCAGCAGCCTCACCCCCGGCTCCCGGGCTCCTATAGCAGGATTTTCCTCGTTCGTTTGACGTCGGAAGGGGGCAAAGAGAAAAAAAAAACCGGCACCAAATTCCCCGTCCGCCCCTCCCCGCACTGCCTGCCAGAAAACAAAAACACCAAGAAACCAAGTCAACTTTTCACCTCCTGAGTTTATTTTTCCAGAGATTCCAGGGCCAGCAAAACCGGTGTTGAGAAGGAAGAAAAGGAAGCCGTGAGGGGGGCCGTGCGGGGCCGGCGGTGGGGCGGCTCCAGACTGTGGGGTCCGCCGCTCCCTTTGCAGACTGTGTTCCGAGTCGGGGCTGCTGGGCCGGGCCTGAGAGAGGTGGGGGCTGCGAGAAAGCTGAGGCCTGGAGAGTTGTAGGGCAGCGTGCCATGCTGAGGGGATGAGAATCTTCTGGAAGTCCTGACAGCTGCCCCTTCTGCGTGTGCTGGGGCCACTGCTGGCCGCTGGTGTGCAAGGCTGCCGCGCAAGGGTACACCGCCCCGGGGGGCAAAGCTCACCTTCTCTATCGGCACCCGCCCATCCCTACCAGTGCGTCGCTGGCAGGCCTCGGACGGAAGGACGGATGGATGGACAGACGGTCTGGTCCCCTGGCCTGCTCATCACACTTTGCTCTCCCCTCCCTGGCTCAACGTCTCCACCAAGCATTGGGTTTCTTTAGAAAAAGGAAAATAACGGAGGGCTGAGAGTCTGCCTAGCTGGCTCTTTGTTTCTTATACATTCTTTTTATGGTGAATCCAAGGAAGAGGGGGGGCCCCTAGGGCCCCACAGCACCGCTGAACCCAGCCATGGCTTTACTTGAATTCATTTTCCCGGGCACAGACCAGGAGAGGTGAACCGGGGGGGGGCAGAGGGACAGCGCACTAGCCAGGCATCACTGGGGTGATAAGGCAGGAAATCAGAACGTAAAAAAGAAGCTTGACTTCTCTCCTTCTTCTCTCCTGATAGGAAGCTGCTTAGACAAGAAAGTTCAGGGGGAACAGAACTGGGGAGCTCAGCAGGGCGAGGAATGACGGTCGAGGCAGACACACCCCGTCCCTGGATAGACCTCTTCCTCCTGAGACACACGCACAAGTCCCCCATGCACTTGCAAGGAAGGTTCAGCCAAGTGGGGGCCTCTCCCCTGCCCCAGGGGTCTAGAGAGCCTCTCCAAGACAAATCCCTTTGGGTCCTTGCCAGACGGGACACTCACTCCCAGATACGTGGTGCCTCTCACTCTCAAGCCAGAGCGAGCCACATCTAAAACACGTCCCTCCCACACACACCCCCGGGCAAGCACAGGGGTACAGAAGCCCAGACGGGTGAGCCAAGCCCCTAGTCCAGAAGCCGGAGCTCCCAGAATCTGCCAGGTCAGCCCAGCCCCACGTTTACAAAGACTCAGAGACCCAACCCCCAGTCATGTGTTCGCTGGCCAGGGCTCGGAGCAAGGTGGGGGGGCCCCGTCCGAACTGGACCCGGCTCCGAGATGCGCGGCCAGGCTGGAGGCACAGGTCAGATGGGACCAAGGCCCAGAATAGCTGATGGGAAGCAAAGGTTTACACACAATCTGCTCCAAGGAATGTGCTTTAAAGAAGCCACTTGTGGTAGCCTGAAGCTTCCCGTCAGCCCCCGGATGAAGGGATTGAGGGTCGAATTCCCCTAGTGCCCCGGGGTCGGGCCAGCCCCATGGGTCTGGGTGGACTTTTTCAGTTCAGAGGAGCCCCTTCGTGAGTCGGGGCTTTCTGGGGGTGCCGCACACAGGCCCCATCTCCGGGGTGCAGGAACAGTTAGGGGATGCCTGAGAGAGGGATTTGGGGAGCAAGCCAAGGAAAGTGAAGGTCTGCAAGGAGCCCCACGGGGGTCCCCCGGCATCCCTGGTGGGGGATGGGAGCCCGGCCAGGAGTCTGCGGGAAGGACGCAGCTCCCCCAGCCCTCAGCCCCTCCGGGATGCCGGCATAGGTCTCCACAGCCAGACCCAGACATCGGCTTCTCCGCGAGGGGCTCTGGGGGAGATGCACACTGGCCCTGGCCGTGAGGACACGGGCCCCAGTCCTGCCCTGTACACAGCTGGTGTCTCCTTAGCAGCCCGTCTGCCGGAGGCCTCCTGTAGTCTCCCGCACCCTCCTCCCTTTTCATCTCTTTTTTTTTTTTAACACCCTCATCCTTTCCTTGTCGGCAGTGTGTGTAGCCGTTTATGGAAGCTCCCAGCTTGCGTTAGGGAATGAGTCGAGCCCAGCGCAGGGAGGGCTCTGGGTGTGTGTGGGGAGGGGGGGAGTGCGGGACGTGTGAGGCCGTGTGTGCGTGTGCGCACACGTGTGTACGGCACGTGAGGCCGGATTTCCTTTGCCTTTCGTGAACCGCCTGGGGCACTGCCCCTGCACGCCCCCGCGGACACACCCATGCACACTTGGCACGGTGCCCGTGCACGCCGGGGCTCACGCACACACATGCACACGTATGCGCAGAACACGCATCCGGGTGTGTATTCGCAGAGAGGCTTCTGGTTCCTTCTGATGGCCAAAGCTGGCTGTCCCCCGTGAGGCCCGGGCAGCCGGGGTCCCTCTCACCGGAAGGCAGTTGGGATCTGTTGTCTCAGGGGCAAGGATACTGCACCAGCCGGAAGGCGGGCGGGGCCCAAGGTGAAAGTTCAGCCCTTAGTCAATATCCACCCACCCCTGCCCCAACCTCATCTGGAAGACCAGGTGTCCAGCCATGGAGCTCTAGGTTTCTTAGAGGACACCCCTGCCCTCGTTTACATATCTGCTGGGGCAGTGGGGGCTCCCGGCCCCCCACACAGACTCCCAGCCGCATTAGAATGATCTGCTGGGCACTGCCTGTGGGTAACGGGGAATCTCCCTGGGCCAGTGATGCAGGGGCCTGTCTGCGTGATCACCTGAAGCCGGTTCGTAGCAGGACACCTCTGTGTCCTTTGGCTCTGCTTCATGGTGCCCCGGGGAAATCTGGTGTTGCACCCAAAGGCCTGTGCTTGGCACCCCAGCACTGCCCAACCCCCCGCGGCCACGCCTCCGGCGTGCACAGCAGCTCGGCACCCAGACTGCCAAGACGAACCAAAAAGTGGCTCTGGTCCCAGGGCCCCAGGTAGCTTGCAAACCCAGGCTTCCCTTCCCATCCTCTCACCTGACACTGCCGTGACTCAGAAGAAACAAGGACACTTCTGGCTGCCCCTCCCAGAGCACCGCTGCCTCGAGGCCTTCTGTCTCTGCCCGCACCTCCCTGGGCAGAGCTTCTAAAGGTGCCAGAGCCTCCCAGAGCCCACTTTGGGCAGGGGCTCCCCTCACCTTCCCATGGTGCCCATGGCGTGAGGGGCCGGAGGGCAGGAAGGGGGACCACCCCCCACTCCCCCGAGCAGCAGCCGCCGCCCAATCCGAGTGCCTCTGTATGGTCCTGCCCAGTGGCAAACCTGGCCACCCACCCCGGAGCACAGATGACCTCTCTTGGGACCACTCCCTTCTCTTTGTTTCTGTAAGAATAACCAAAAGCATTCAAATGTGTTACCTTTCTTTACACATAGAGACTCCAAAAACAAAAACCAACACAAATCTTTATTTTTTGATTTAAAAGATATAATGAAAAATTATGAGGAGAGTATTCATTGTGGCAGGTGTCTATCTATGAGAAAAAAAATATATCTATATGTCCTATAGCTTGTTAGCAGGTTTATTTTTTAAATGAAAGGTAAGAAAGAAATTGATTTGAAATATATACCACGAGATGTCCCATGGCCTGTCAAACTTGTCAGTATTTTATAAATAAACTTTTTTTTTTTTTTGGAGTTCTGAAACGACATTTTTTTCTTCTCCTCCCTGGAAGGTAAGTGGGGACCGCTACCCTCGCATCAGGCTGAAGCCATCTTCTCCTCCAACATCCATTGTCAGCCAGGCTGTGTCCTTGCAGCGACAAAAGTCCCACTCACTTGCCTTCTTAATTCATCGGTGAGTGGACGTCCGTGCCTTCAAGGGAAGTGCGCTATTTTACTTTATGCTTTTAGGGTAAGAGTCACTCAGATGACCCCAAATTAGAGGCAAAATGGCCCTGATTCGTAACGATGGCTCACACGTGTGCTGTTTACCCGCGGCCAGATGCTGTTCTCACCACTTTACGTTCATTAACTCGGGGAGTCCTGCGAGAACACCTTCAGGAGGGAAACTGAATTGGGGAGCATTTAAGTGGCATGCCGTTCGACGGCTGGAAAAGCCGGGGTTTGTACCAAAGCGGCCTGGCTCCAGAGATGTGCGCTGCCTCTGCGATGTTTTGAGGCACGTTCCTCGCCCGTGTTCATCTTCATTCCTTCCAAGCCAGCCCCGCTGACCTTAGTGTGGGTCGGGTAAGAGGCACCGCGGTGCTTGGTGGAACTAATCTAGCTCGTCCTCCCGGGCGAGAGGGAGGGCTTGGATGGCTGAGTTTATGAGGACCGTGGTGTGGCAGGATCCCACATTTCTCCCGCGTGCAGTCAGATTCAAACAGGAAAGGAGCAAAGAACAAATGACGTGGGCAGCCCACGGAAGACCACTCGATGAGCACCTTTACTCTACAAAGTCAATGGTGTAATGTATATCAGACACTCCTACGGGGGCTACTCAACTAATCCAAACAATGAAAGCAGGGGATTTTTAAAAATCTACATACATAAACCCTTATATACTATTTTTTTCTTAAAACACACATGTAAATTCATTCGCCAATCTGTTCATGTTGGGCCATAGCTTTTTTTCTTTTCCCAAGAATGGGCTCTGTGGATACAGTCTTTGTTGCTTTTCTTGCATAAATCACCTCTGTCATGGGTTGTCAGTGAGTTCTAGTCTATTTCTTTAAAATAAAGCAAAAATGTGTAGAAATCATGGATCGAGGACTTGCAGTGTCCAGTTAGGTCTACGTGCAGCGTGCTTGGAAGCGCCCACTCCGTCTTCACCAGTGAAAAGTCCAGCAAACTAAAGAAGCAACAGCAATTCACAGATCCATGAGAGACGGGAAGTCACGGGGCACCTGAGTGGCTCCATCAGTGAAGCGTCTGCATTGGGCTCAGGTTGG